TCATTTCCTTGATTGTGCCTAAAATGTAGACAACAATGTTCTATGCAATATATGATAAATCTTTCTCTGATGCAAGCCCCAAGAAAAACAATAAAAGCCTGTCTAGGCAAGGGTCGGGTGCTCTCCTTTTGAGAGAGTGGCCGAGACACTCATAGACACTCTCCCCTTGAGAGAGTAGCTGTGCCGTCCCCTTTTCCTCCACAGGATTGCTGTTGCCTGTGCATTTATTTTCTCTCTCAGCCACAACAGGCGGACTCTGCTGGCCGGAGTCCGCCACACATGACCACTGGTTGCCTCGAGAGCTGGACCCAGGCATTCCGAGGATCCTCCCTCCCTCCCCTGCATTTGAAATGTGCTCTCCGCCTACCCTTCCCACAACGGGAGCTGCTCTCAAGGACACAGCCTTGAGAGAACTATGAGTTGCCGAGACTGCTTGGATGGTATATGGGACTAAATCCAGGTAAAGCCTCCATCTAGACTTTTAAGATTTGGCAGGCGGTTGAAGTCATCTGTTTGTCTTGCTGTCACCCAAGACAAGCCTTATAAGTAAGTTCTCATGCTTTTTAAACCTACCACCTACCAATATGGAGTGGTCTGCCTCTTTCTTTGGTCTCTCCTTGCCTTTCGTGTATGGGGGCCAGTTTGCAAAGCAAGAGCAGCATTAATCACATAGCCGAAAGGTGGAAGCAACCCAACTGTCCACTGATGGGTGGATGGATAAACAGATGGTAGTGTACACACACCATGGAATATTATTAAGCCTTAAAAAGGTAGGAAATTCGGACATATTCTACAACAGGGATGAGTCTGGAGAATATTATGCTAAGTGAAATAAGCCAGTCACATAAAAACCCCCCACAAATACTGTATGATTCTACTTGTATGAGGTACCAAGAGTGATCAAATTCATCAAGATGCAAATTAGAATGGTGGTTGCCAAGGGTTTGGGGCAGGGAGGGGAGAATGGGAAAGTTATTTAATGGACATAGAGTTTCTGTTTTGCAAGATAAAAAGAATTGACAATGTGAATTTACTTAACATTAGTGAGTTGTACACTTAAAAATGGTTATGATGGTAAGCTTCATTATATGTATTTTACTACAATTAAATTGTTTAAAAATAAATATATGTAGGAGACCCCAATTTTACTGCATTAGAAGCTATATGCATATATATGCCGGCTCATGTTTGCAAAAACAGGAAGAAAGGTATTGAACAATAGGTAGCAAACTTCATTTTTGTTTTTCATTTTTATTGTTGTTCTAGTACAGTTTTCTGCCTTTTCTCCCCAGCCTTCCCCACCACCCCAGCCCTCCCCACCTCCCCCCCCGTTTCCACCCCCCCTTGTTATTGTCCATGTGTCCTTCATAGTTGTTCCTGCAAACCCTTCTTAACACTGATTACCTTCTGGAATACTAGTTTTGGAAGGGATGTGTGTGTTTGGGGGAAAGGAGGGGAAAATATTAAGTCTTCTATGTATATCTTCAGACTGTTTGACTTGTTAAAATGTGCATTCATTACTAGCATATATATATTTTAATTTAGTAGAGTCAGAAAGCAACCCACAGGAGAAAATCAGTCATTAAGGGTCTCAGTTGGGAATTGGTTCGTTGGTGATTAAAGACAGAAACACCCTTGAGGACTGTGAGCATGCTGTAACTCGCGCACTCTGATCACAGAAGCGCATGCTCCTTCTCCCCACTGACGCTTCAGGTGAGCGCTCACGTTTTGATGACACTCACGTTAGTTACTCCAAGTCCAGACAACTGGTTTATGAAATCATGACCCTTATTTGAGTGACCACCGACGGAGGAAATGTTCGGTTTAGATAAACTCTGCCTGAAGGTTATCTAAGGACAGTTCTGACAGAGCCAGCCAGGGCAGCGAGGGGCCCAAGTCTCGTCTGTCACGTGACGAGCATAGAGGGGAGCTGCCGTGATTGGCTTCCATCATGAGCCTTCCCTTGACCCACAGGGCAAAGAAATATAATGAGACTTAATTGAGGATGACCAAAGCGGGCCATGAAATGCTATTTATAACTTTCTAAACAACTCGGGTATTAGCCAATCAGTGACTGACTTCGCAAATAATGACAAAGGAAAATGCTAAGTATAAGGAAAATTGGTGTCTCTTGGGACTATATAAAAGGCCAGCTGTAGAAGGTGCAGCCAAAACTCAGGAACTTAACAACACAACTCTCAGCCCAAGCCCGGACATCATGGCCTGCTGCACCACCAGCTTCTGTGGATTCCCCAGCTGCTCCTGTGGGACCTGTGGACCCAGCTGCTGCCAGCCCTGCTGCTGCCAGCCCAGCTGCTGCCAGCCAACCTGCTGCCAGACCAGCTGCTGCCAGCCCAGCTGCTGCCAGCCATCCTGCTGTGGGACAGGGTGTGGGACCGGGTGTGGGACCGGCTGTGGCACTGGCTGTGGCCAGGGTTGTGGCTGTGGAGCTGTGAGCTGCCGCACCAGGTGGTGCCGCCCTGACTGCCGCGTAGAGGACACCTGCCTGCCCCCCTGCTGCGTGGTGAGCTGCACCCCCCCAACCTGCTGCCAGCTGCACCATGCCCAGGCCTCCTGCTGCCGCCCGTCCTACTGTGGACAGTCCTGCTGCCGCCCCGCCTGCTGCTGCTACTGCTGTGAGCCCACCTGCTGCCAGCCCACCTGTTGAAAAGAAGGTTGCTGATTACTTAGGAATGAATGGAGAAGCATAAGAAAACTCTTGATTTCTGAGAAAATGTCTTTTACTTGGATGCTAAGTATCATGATGTATCTAAGTCACTCAGAAATCACAAGTCTTAGGACCCTCTTGAATGTGCTGAATTAGCCCCTGAAAACATGTATCGGAGTGTCGGATCAGGGACATCTCTGTTCCATTCCCCATCTCTCCATCCCTATCTGCTTCCTCCCCAAATATCCCCTGTTAATTTCAAATAAAATGTTTGAATGTGCTAAGCAAACTGAGTTATTTTCTTTCTTCTGTCTAGAAGCTTGTCTACCTCTAGCTGAAATTCAAGAAGAGTGGATTTTTATTTTGATAATCCTGTGGCATAAGCATAAAAGTCTAAACCAGAAAGACTAAATACCAGTTGCATGATGCTTCCATCCATCAGTTAATAAAATGTTCCAGGCATTAAATAATGTTTGTAGTTTTTCAAACACTTACATGCTCTAGTCTATGACAATTAGGTATGAACCAATAAGGTCACTTTTTGCTAAAATTTCCTGGTCGATCAAAGCTATGGGGCTCCACCTAGATGTAACCTCCTTCCCTGTAACATACTAGAAGTTCTCCTTCATGCATGCCCGATATCTAAAACAACACGTATTACCGACTAAATAGATTTTAAAATATCTACCAGATCCTATCAGACGCTATCTATTTTCCAACAGCACTTAGGTTTCAATCCCTATGCCTTAGTTTATTATATTCTTCCCACCGATCCCCCAATTGATCTCTAAGCTTCAACTCCCAGCACCCACCTCCTCTGCCGGAAGTGTGTATGTGGTGTCTCAGTGGCCTAGAGGAAAGCAGAATAAACAGCATGTAGATGCCCCGTGATTTCCAGCATCACCATTCGTCAGACACGTGCATTAGAAATACGGAACAGCCCTGGCTGGCATAGCTCAGTGGATTGAGCACAGGCTGGGATTCAAAGTGTTTCAGGTTCAATTCCCAGCCAGGTACATGCCTGGGTTGCAGGCCATAACCCCCAGCAACTGCACATTGATGTTTCTCTCTCTCTCTCTATCTCCCTGCCTTCCCTCTCTAAAAATAAATAAATAAAATCTTTAAAAAAAAACCTTAAAGGAGAAAAAAAAATATGGAACAACTATGTACTTTGCACTTCCAATCGGAAAAATGTTCTCTTTATAAGTTAGCACAAATGTAGACCAAAAAATACCTTTTATGAATTAATTTTCATTTCTTAGATTATTTGTGGGCAATATACAAAAGACATGACAAAATATCAACAAATTAAGACAAGTGTTTTCCAGGTTATTTACAAGCTTCCAGAACTTACCCCTATCATTTCATTAGTAGCCGTGAAACATCGCACACAAGACAATACATGTCAGAGAAGAATAGAGTGAATGGCAGTGTATTCCTCAGAACGCCTGAACTCCAGATGTTTTTTTCTGAGCCTTGGTGCAGTTACTAAATGTGCTGTAGAAAACATTTGCAGCATTTCCTTGTCTCTTCTGAGAAAAACAAGGCCTCCTTTGAAGAGGTCCGAAGCAGGAAAGTTCTTTGTAATCATGGGTAAGGGATTCCGGCATCCATGATTCACGCCTCTTACTCCACCCACACAGAATCGCATTCAGTCAACAGTGAGGCCCTACCAGAAGCTCCCTGCCTTGTTAGGTATTTTTATGTATATATGTCATTTGGTTCGCAAAAAAAGATCTTTGGCCTGAAACCCAAATAATATTCCCACATTTCAAATTGGCTGAAACAAAAGGAACTCCAACGGTAGTTTGATGTGGTGTTGGAGTGAGTGAGTCGGACACTACATAGTGCATGATGGGAAGTACCCTTTCAATTCCGTGGGTGTCCTGATGTCCTAAATTCAAGGGAATTTACTCTGTATATCTAGGAGAAAAAATAATAGTGAAAAAGAAAGAGCACACTTATCCTCAGCCTTAGAGGCCTGACACAGCGTCCTGTGGAATAAATACCTCTCTAGAGCAAGTGTGTTGGCGTGGACTAAAACAGGGGGACTGTCTGAACGTGGAAAACCACAAGCCTGCTCTGCGGACGAGAGGACCAATGTGAGGAGTCCAAATGAAACTATAAAACAAAGTAATTTCTGAACTGCTACTCATCATGTGTCGTAAGTATTTCAGTGTCAGCCAATCAGAGGCCCACTGAGGAACAAATTTAAACCAAAACAAGGAAGGTATGTTAAGAATTGTATAAATAGCAGCTGGTCAGGAGATATAAAAGGCCTGACATAGAAGTCACCACCAAAACTCCTACCAGAAACTCAAGCCCCGACACCATGGCCTGCTGCACCACCAGCTTCTGTGGATTCCCCAGCTGCTCCGGCGGGACCTGTGGGCACAGCTGCTGCCAGCCCAGCTGCTGCCAGCCCTGCTGCTGCCAGCCCTGCTGCTGCCAGCCAACCTGCTGTGGGACCGGGTGTGGGACCGGCTGTGGCACTGGCTGTGGCCAGAGTTGTGGCTGTGGAGCTGTGAGCTGCCGCACCAGGTGGTGCCGCCCTGACTGCCGCGTGGAGGATACCTGCCTGCCCCCCTGCTGTGTGGTGAGCTGCACCCCCCCAACCTGCTGCCAGCTGCACCATGCCCAGGCCTCCTGCTGCCGCCCGTCCTACTGTGGACAGTCCTGCTGCCGCCCTGCCTGCTGCTGCTACTGCTGTGAGCCCGCCTGCTGCCAGCCCATCTGCTAAAGCCAGGTTGCTGATTTTCAATGGACTGGAACACAGTATCTGAACAATTTGTCTTCTCAACACCCCCTGGACCACTAGCAAGTTCTTAAGCTTCTATCTGGGTTTCTGTTATGGGAGCTACCAAGTCAATGCATTCGCTTTGATTCCATTCTACGATGAATACCTTGACTCCACAGCGGACACAGGAGTGCTATGAACTCACCTGATGATCATCAAATCGCTTTGGATCTGCTATTCCTGACTTCCCTGCAGGGCTGGGAATTACTGCCACATTGTGGATTATATCCTTGAGAACTGTCCACAAGTCTAATTTTCCCGTTCTGTGATCTCTTCTGAGCTTCTGTTTACCTAAAAGAATTTCCAACATTAGAGGCGCCAGGTTGTAGCCAAGTGACATTCCTCAGATGTCTCCGGAGAGAATGGAAGCTCTTCACCCAACATGCAGCTTCTACGAAGTCGACTAGTCTCTTCCATATTTCAGCATCTGATTCCATCCCTTTTTGGGGGGCGGGGATCATAATGACCTTTCCTGTGGGCTATTTCAATTATATCTGTGTTGCAGTGTCTCCTGTCATTTCTTAATAAATGTTATTTACGAGGCAAAGAAATCACGGTCAGTGTTTCCACTTGAACATGAAATGAGTGAATTGCTTATAGTTCAAAAATGTCCGCTTGTAAGAAATACACTTGCTTCTTTTTAAAAAGAGACTGAAGCCACATACAGTGTATTCGTTCAATAAAATTTATTGACCACCACGTCTCAGGAAGGGACTCAGGAAATAAGAAAGATCAAGAATCAATTCTCATCTTTGAAGACCTTATTATCCAGAAAGAAAAGGAACATGTGTGACAACAGACGCCCACCATGTGACGATGGTAGAAAAAGTCTCCCCTACCTTAGGGACAAACGCTTTTGTGACCAAAACCCCCCTATGGCTCAGCTTGCAATAGGTCTGTCCACGTGAGATGTGCGTACTGGCAACTCCGAAAGCTTAAGAGAAAGATGTTAACCAATTACACATGAGAGAGAGAAAGAGAGAAATATTTCTTCCTTCAGAAAGGGAGTGAGGAGAAAGAAGGAGGAGAGATCTAGTCAGTATGTCACGAGTGTCACTCTGTGACCCTTCCACGTCAAATTGCCACACACGGCCTCTGGGATGGTCAACTTTCCCGCGAAAACCAGAGAAGGAGCTGAGTGTCATGTCTGGGTTGACTCGGGGGACGGGGAGGACAGCCAAGAGCCAGACAGAGCCAGGAGGGGGGCAAGACAGGAATGGCCCAGGGACTCTCAGAAACGGTGGAGAGGCATTGGATGGAGTTTACGGCGGGAAGTAGTATCTTAGGTAGGTAAACTGCAAAGAAGACAGAAGGGTCTCAAACAGGATTTCAGAAAGAAGGAGAGATCACTTTGGGACCAGCAAGGGCCCTGCTGGGGGCAGCATCAGGGAAGACTTCACAAGGGAGGGAGCCTTTGAAGTGGGCCTTGAAGGTCATTCTTAATGGAAAAAAAAAAAGAGTGAGTGAAAAAGAGCCCAACCTACACACCTATTATAATGGCTGAAATCCAATGCAATGACGACACCAAATGGCAGCAAAATGGGGCGGAGCAACAGAAACTCTCAGTCATCGCTGGTAGGAAAGCAAAACGGTGCAGCCGCTTTGGAGGAGGGTTCAGCTGTCTCTTCAGAGCTAAGCGCAGGCGCACCGTACAACGCACAACGCGGCAGGTGCGCTCCCCGGCGTTCGCTCGAGGGAGCTGGGAACTCATGTGCACGCAGACACCTGCACATGGATATTTCTAGCAGCGTTGTTCGTAATTGCCAAAAATTGGCAGCAACCAAAAAGTCCCCCAAGAGGTGAATGAATAAATGAACTTTGGTGCATCTATTCAATAGAACTCTATTCTGTGATAAAGAGAAATGATTTATCAAACCACAAAAGGACATGGAAGGATCTTTTTTTTTTAAGATTTTATTTATTTATTTCTAGAGAAGGAAGAGAGGAAGAAAGAGAGAGAGAGAGAGAGAGAGAGAGAGAGAGAAACATCAATGTGCGGTTGCTGGGGGCCGTGGCCTACAACCCAGGCATGTGCCCTGACTGGGAATTGAACCTGTGATGTTTTGGTTCGCAGCCCGCGCTCAATCCACTGAGCTACACCAGCCTGGGCTTAGGACATGGAAGGATCTTAAATGCCTCTTGCTACAGGTAAGAAGCCAATGTGAAGAGGCTGTGTACTATGTGGTTCCAACTACACGATACTCTGCAAAGGGCAAAACTGTAGAGAGAGGAAAAGCTGCCGAAGTGCCCTGTCTACTCTGCCCTGCAGGCGCCTGCAGTACAACACTATCTGCAAGATTATGAATTCAAAACATACATTACAGAAATAGAAAGACACAGGCCTGGCCTAAGAAATCCAAACAGAAGCTGGCCGCGAGGCTCTGAGAAAGTTTCCTTTACTGAGACGAGGCGCGCACTGCTGGCGCTCCCACTTCCTCCTCACCCCGACTCTCCCTCCTGCTTTACCCACAGATGTGGCTCCTGGAGCTACGAAACCCCAGGGAATGGAAGGGACACTGATCCCGACCCACTCGAGTCTGTAAACCAACACTGGCGACTGTCTACCTGTGAGAACAGTAAGTCCTTGATCGAGGCGGTATCTGTCGGCTTTTCCAGAACTGGAAATCTCAAACATCCCTGACAGCTGCACTCTGCAAAATGCAACTTCCTGCGTACGACAGCTACGAGGGTTTCAGGTGCATAAGCGCTTTACTGATGGAAAAGGGCATCAGTTCCCAATGACAAATCCTAAAGCAAAAGTGGGGAGCGTTTTTACTGAAGTTCATTGACCGTAATATGAGTAGATGGATAGCAAAAAAGGATAGGAGAAAATATGGAGCAGTGGGTTTAGGTAATAAAGGATGGAGAAAAGAACAAGAAGAAGAGAAAAATACAAAATGGGGGGGGGGACAGAAAAAAAGCCACAGTGGAAAAGACTAGGGACAAGAGGCAGAAAAGGAGGCAGAATGATGGGGAAGACACGCAGGAGGGGGAAGAAGGCAGGGGACCTCGCTGAGTTCCATACGCAGGGCCACACGCTAGAGAGACTTCCCGTGAACTTTGCTTCACTTAACGCTAACATCAGTCCCACGGCATAGAAATTGTTATCCTGCCTTGCAGAGGAGGAAAATTAGTGTAAATAAAGCTTTAAAAAAGGAAGACTGAACCCAATTCTATCTGATGCCAAAACTCATAGAAAATGAAATTAAGGAACTAGCTGTAAAGAGAAGGGCGGGGAAATTCAGCATATTTAAAGATGGCTTTTGTGGAAACTGTGGTTTCCAGAATAAGTTCCTCTCTGTGCCAGTTGTAAGGTTATTGTCTCTTAGCCCACCTGGATAATCCAGGATACTCTCCATATTTCAAAGGCAACGAATTTCTAACCTTAATTACATCTGCAAAGTCCCTTTTGTTCTGCAACGTATTCATGGGCGTGGAACCAGGGCTCGGAGTTCAAGGAGTGAAAATTCTGCCTACCACAGGGATCGTTAGACACTAGATTGACACTAATTCCTAGAGACCCAAAATGTTACTCCAGTCCACTAAGGAAAGTGGTGCCTTATGGTGGCCAGGTGATAGTTAAAGTAAAGAGGGGGAGAGAGAGAGAGAGAGAGAAACATCAATGTGCGGTTGCTGGGGGCCGTGGCCTGCAACCCAGGCATGTGCCCTGACTGGGAATCAAACCTGAGATGTTTTGGTTCGCAGCCCGCACTCAATCCACTGAGCTATGCCAGCCAGGGCTACATTTTATTTATTCGTTTTTAGACTGGGGGGAAGGGAGGGAGAAATGAGAGGGAGAGAAACATCGATCAGTTGTTACTTGCAGGCACCCTGACTGGGAACTGAACCTGCAATCCAGGCATGTGCCCTGACCAGGAATTGAACCAGTGACCTTTTGCTTTGCAGGATGATGGCACTTGAACCCATTTACCAATAACCTGAAAAAGACAGTACCACTGTGGATTCGGGCCTTTCAGAAAAGATTAAATCACCCCCACCGGGGAAAAAAGCCCAAACAGCTGAGGTCCTGACTGAGGGTAAGGAAGATGATGAAATAGGGAGAGGGAGAAGAGAGTCATAAATATTAACTACAGCCCTGTAACCAATTAGAACGAGGGATTATAGAAACTATGTATCTTTTCTTCCTTGTTTTTCTTCTCTTTTTTCCTCCCGGGGAAGCCTGGGGGTGGGGGTTGGACTGCAGCCTCCCTGTAGGGAGGGGGTGAGTCCCCCCAACCCCCGCAGAGTCCGCCCATTTAGCTTTGCAGTTAAGAAAGTTCCACTGTTTCTATTAAAAAAAAAAACAAAACCTTCCGTGTGAGGCGGGGCTGTGCCAGGGAGACCAGACAGCAGCCGCTGTGTTGTTAATTACTGACTTATCCTCCAAACCCTCACTCTGGCTTAAGAAACATGCTTTCCATCATGATTGTTCAAATTTCATTGAACATCTACTCTCCCTACCAGCCTCATTTTAGTGAGCACACATTATATCTTACTTAGCTTGGTGTAATTCTCCGCTGCTAACCGCATATTCTACAGCTTATAAGAATACGTGAGAGTTCAACTGAAGGCCTAAGATCCCCAAGAAAAACAGGCCACACTTCCAGGCCGCGGAAGCGAGGCTGAGCTTGCATGTGCCGTGTGACTCAGCGCTGTGAGGTCCGCTCCGGCGTGGTGCAATGGGAACATACACGTCCCAGTGATGGAGGGCGGAAGGGTCACCCCCCTTTGGGTCCTACACAGGGACACAACTGTAGCCAATATCAGCTGTCGTCAAGAGGCAAAACATTACCCGCTTTTTAAAAGAAATCCAAACTGAGACCAATTTTCAGTGCAGGCTAATGCACTGGCCAGAGCTGTACCAATCTCCACGGTAACCTCACACCAGAAAACATGTCCTGGTGCCACTGGAAAGCCCCCCAGAGTGTGCCACTCAGCCCAAACCCAGACCCCTCTCCCCGCACGCCCAGCGAAGTGGACATTCTGCAAGGAAAGCAGTTTCATCGATAGCCGTCCTGACGCCAGTCTTTCCGTCTTCCAGTCTGTATGAAAAAGGAGTTCACCAGAAATTTAAAAGATCGTGCCAGTCAAGAAATACAGACCAACTGCTTTGACTCGCAGGCATTTTTATTGGGAGGCTTTTTTCTGAAGGGATGAGGCGCTCCATCAAGCTGAAGAAAACTGAGTCGCCTTCGATTGCGAAACCTCCCAACACTGACATGGCCGCGGACGCGGGCGATGCCGCCGTCACGGGAGGACTTTCCCGGCGGCAGCCCAGAAATCCACCCAGGTGCTCGGAGGCGGATGTCGGTAAGTCACACGGAGGCTCACAACAAACCGTGACTAACGCCCATGAAAGTGACCTTTTATCTCGGTCCGGGAACCCTGCAGGAAGTGCATCTTTCACGTGTGTATGGGAGCACCCCACATCTTCAGCCCTGCCCCCCCTCTCTGCAGGCCCCGCACTGAGCTCATCTTCGCCCCCTTCCCTGCCGCCCTAGATGGCAGCTCTGGGGCTCCGAGTGCCCTCCCACCTACGGGGAACTCTGAGACCTAAACGTGGTCCTCCGCCACGCTCTTGATCAGCACCTCCTACCACCTCTACTTGCAAAAATGCCCCCCAAACTCGACCAGCCCCTCCCACCTGCACCACATACTTGTTAGGCCTGTTTCCACGCTGGCCCCGCCGCAGTTCATTTTCCACGGAACAGACCTCACATCTCATGGCTTCCTGCCGTAAATCAGCCAGTGGCGTCTCACTGCGCTTAGCGTAAAAGCTAAACCCTGTAGAACCACCTGCATATTCCTACGCGGCCTGGCACCCACCTGCCTCCTCGACCCCATCCCCTAATGCACCACTCCGTCTCTCTCCCTCTACTCCAGCCCCCCCACCCCGGGTGGGGGGAGACCGTCCGCCCACCCCAGCCAAAGCAGATGCTCTCCCTGCACCACTGCCCCGTCACTCTCTGTCCTTTTACTCTGCTTTATTTTCTTCTGGCACGCCCACTGTCTGAAGTTGTTATTTATTCATTGTTTAGTGTACTCTTCTGTCCCCCCACTCTGGAATGAACACGGTGACTGTAGGACCCTATCTGACCTGGTTCTTTCTGCTTGGTTTTTTCTTCATGGAACTCCTTTTGGGAAATCCTACACTGTCTAGCTTCTACATGGCCCAGTGCAACTAGCCTTTGGGTCATAAGCTTCGTTCATAACACAACAGGTAGAATTTTACAGGACCTCCATCATTGTCGTTAGTCCATGGAAGTCTCAACTCGCATCCACATGCCCCCGCAAGTTCCCAATCAAATCACGTGCAAAGGGGAAGGAGAATAAACGATCTGTCACAGCTCTATAAGAAAGTGCCTCTTCACACAGAACCAGAATCTTGTTCACAGTGGGTTCCATCCATTCCCCTAAAGCCAGCTTCTTGGAGCTACAAAGAATACATCTGCAAATCTTATCACTTCTTCAGCCAGAAAGCCGAAATGATCACATAGAACCTTTGCTGGTAGAAGAGCAACCAAGAAACCTACTAATTTCTTCCTCTGAAAAGGAGATGAGGAAACATGGCGGCGACGTGCAGATCCCCCGCATGCCAGGCCGTCATTAGGGACGTGCAGCGATTAGACAATAATCACCTGGGGCCTTTGAAGACGGAGACAAAATGCTCACACGGTGACAGAGCTGACGGAAGAGCCCCAATCTGACAGCAAAACAAACTAACCCCCTTTTATGAGGTGAGGCATGTGTCTTTAGGTAATAAACACTTAAGTAATTAGATGGTTTTTATGGAGATAGCTATAAACTGAAACATGGGGAAAAAATCTTGCTCACAGGCTGACGCCCAGGGAGGGGGGTATATAAGAGCCGGAGCAGAAGAGACCAGCATCGAGACACCAAGAGACTTCTCTTCTCAACCCAACAGAAACCCAAGTGTCAACGCCATGGCTTGCTGTGCCCCCTGCTGCTGCAGCGTCCCCACGGGCCCCGCCACCACCATCTGCTCCTCTGACAAATGCTGCCGCTGCGGAGTGTGCCTGCCCAGCACCTGCCCACACGACATCAGCCTCCTGCAGCCCACCTGCTGTGACACCTGCCCCCCGCCCTGCTGCATGCCTGACACCTACGTGCCCACCTGCTTCCTGCTCAACTCCTGCCATCCCACTCCCGGTCTGTGCGGGATCAACCTGACCACCTACGTGCAGCCTGGCTGCGAGAGCCCGTGCGAGCCCTGCTAAGCTGCCACAGCCCTGCACGGGTTCAGCGCCGTGCCGCTCGCCGTGCTCCACGTCGCCCAGCCGTCAGCACGCACCGCCGCCTACAGCAAGCCGACTCTGTCCCCATTCCCTGGGCCATGCTTTCGTGAACTGGCCCAATTCCTGACTCCGTTCCTCCTTTGCGGAGAGCGGGAGACCTTTTCCCCGTCCTTTAGGCTATTGCACTGCTGAGAAATGACCATTTTGACTATTCATTAATAAATTTCATTCTGGCTTAGCAAATACAGCCTTGTGATTATTTATTCCATGTTGCCTCTTAGAGAGAGTAGAATGCCTCCCTAAACCTGAACAGCACATCATCCTACTATCCTAGCAGAATGAGAGATCTCATCATAGATTCACTGAAAAAATAGGTACTGGCTCTTGGTGTAAGTTAAAAAGTAAAAAACCCAGTAGGTCATTTTATAGGATCTATTTTTAAATTTTATTTATTTTTTTCTTGAGAGAGAGAGAGAAATTGATTTGTTGTTCCACCCACGCATGCAGTCAGTGGTTGCTTTTTGTATGTATCTGACCAAAAATCGAACTCACAACCTTGGCACACGGGACAAATGCTCTAACCAGCTGGGACACCTGGCTAGTGCCCTGTAGGATCTTTTTATTCAGTTAATATATTTTTAAGACAACCACTGTGCCAGGCACTATGCTAGAGTCTAGAGATTAGTATAATGTTTTAAAAATATTTTATTTTAATATCCATTACCCCCCAAAACTGATTTTCTTTCTTCCTTAACTGACGAAACAAATTGATGACTGCTGGCATGTGGAAATAATTTTGACTCTTCTAGTCATAGTCATCAATGAAATTCCAAGTTCAAAATGCTATGCAACTTTGGGAAATATGTATGCGTGTACAAACACACACACATATAGTCTTTATATATGTTGTCTTCTAGGAAAATAAATTTGGAATGAATATGAGGATTTAGTGAGTATTCCTTATTTCTTCAAATTAGGCTTGGCTTACATGAGTCATAACTATTTTTAGAAGTTTACGAGTCCAAATGACATGTAATAGCATGCCATTGAAATACACTGAAAATAGACTATAGTGCCGCCTTCTCTGTTCACCAGAAAGAGTCACACAATCATGGGAGTAAAAACACACACTTCCTCCTACAACAAAATCTGTATCAGGACCATTAATTCATCCCCTTCGTTGTCCTGGAAAAATCCACGAGCTGTAAGGTTTTTGCAGATGTCCCCGGAATGCAGTCTAGTTGTGTGTGTTCTTGAGCTGGCCTTGGGACTGCGGGCCATTCGCTTCCGTCTCAGACTCTGTTTGCTCATTGCAATCCCTTCTGTGCTTATGTCTCCGGATTCCTGGGAGGATCGGATGACCCCACGCGGCCACAGCAGCTCTCCGAGGCACAGGGAGAGACTCGACCATTACTGCCTCACGCTGGTCCCCAGCTTTCTTACAAAAGGCATCCTTTTATTTCCTGGAAAAAAAAATTATTTTCCCAAATGTCTTTTTAAAGTAATAATTTAGTCACTCTTTCATTTTTGTTCATAAATGCATTTTTAAGTATCAATGAGGTTTTTTTTTAATCTTTTTTTAAAGATTTTATTTATTTATTTTTAGAGAGGGAAGGGAGGGACAGAGAGAGAAACAGCAGTGTGTGGTTGCTGGGGGTCATGGCCTGCAACCCAGGCATGTACCCTGACTGGGAATCGAACCTGTGACATTTTGGTTCGCAGCCTGCTCTCAATCCACTGAGCTACGCCAGCCAGGGCTTCAGTGAGGTTTTAGGATTAATATTACTATTGTTACTGTGCCAAGTACCTGTGTTGTAGTCAAAAGCAAAGAAGTTTGATGTTTTGACACATCTTTGTTAGGGATAGATATTTAAACTTTATTTTTAATACTACCACTGTGGGCCTGTGGCATTCAGGGGCCCTCGGCTGGTTCAAAAGCCCCACCTGGCAACCAGGAACGGGCAGCCTAGCCCTGGCTGTGTCTCGGGCAGCCGCTGTGACTCTGAGCTGTCACTTGATCTCTTTGGGTCTCAGGTCTTAAAGTAAAATGAGCCGGTTGACCAGATCCTCTCTAAAGTCAGCTTAGTTTTGACATTCTACAGTTCTAGATTATCCCAAAGCATTTTAAGTAACAAATATTCCATGTCACTAACCGATCCCGTCCCACCTTATTACTTTTACTGCTTTCATTCATAAGGGCTAACATTTGGTGAACCTCCTGGCCACTCAGGTAGGTGCCTTATGTGTGTTATCTCATTTATTTCTCATAAAAACACTAAGAGGTGTCTACCGTTATCCTCCCCGTTTTACAGGTGAGGAAACTGAGGCTGAACGTTACTAGCCAAAGTTACATAAACAAGAAGTGACAGAGCAGGGATTCAACCTAAAACTGCCTGAATCCAAAATCCCTTCCCTTTCCACTTCACCCAAGTGCGTGCCTCCTCTGCAGACAGAAGCCTGGTTACGCGTGGCTCTGTTCACCCAGAAGAAAGCGTGTGTATGCCACTGGGCCGTGCACTCTCTACCAACCCTCTGAACTGTGTATCGGGTTGTACATCGTAACTCAGCTTTCTCTGTGCTTTAAGACAAAATTAGTGTATGCACTGAATCTATGAAAAAAGAATATTTACATCTCTAAGGTGAAAGCAAGTCATCTTTCTTTAAAGTCAGACTTTAAATACTGATTAACCATGTCCGCACAGGAAAAATACCAGCTGGGTGTTTACCCTTGTATCAAAATGCAGAACCTTTGGCAACTCCAACACATTTTCGATTTTCTGATAAGTTTGAATAACCTCGTCCAAGATAAAAACAAACTACTCAAGGTTAATCATTATTTATCCCTGATACTAGAATAGAAAGCCAAGCCATTTCGTTTTTCTTTCACATTGTTCCTGGCACAGCTTCGGCCCACCCCACCCCCCCACCCCCCGCCTTTGCTGACTGCAGACTGATCCACACCCTGATACCCTGATGGCCACACCCCTGGTTACAGCTGCAGTTTCCCAGCTATGTCCCTTTTTCTTCCCTACAATGTTTTGATTTTTTTTTATTTATTCTATTTTTTTCCATTACGCTTTAGTCACTTTATAAGCCCCTCCCTCTGCAATCACCACACTGTTGTCCGTGTCCATGAGTCCTTTTCCTTTTTGCTCATCCCTGCACCTCCCCTCCCCCCACCCCTTAGCTGTCAGCCTGCTCTCCATCTGAGTCTCTACTTTGCTTGTTAGTTCAGTTTGTGCATTAGAATCCACATATGAGTGAAATCATATGGTATTTGTCTTTCTCTAAATGGCTTATTTCACTTAGCATAATGTTCTCCAGGTCCATCCAAATTGTCACAAAGGATAAAATTTTCTCTCTTTTTTTTTTTTATAGCTGAGTAGTATTCCATTGTGTAAATGTCCCACAGTTGTTTTATCCACTCATCTACTGATAGACACTTGGGCTGCTTCCATATCTTGGTGATTGTAAATAACGCTGCAATGAACACAGGGGTGTATATGTTCTTTTGAATTAATGTTTTGGCTTCCTGCATATATATGAGGTCTGTCCAGAAAGTATCGAGTCATACAATAATACCTCAGTCCCCTTCAAAGTAGGCACCTGAGACCTCACACAGTTCTCCCAAAGGCCATCAGCTGCCCTGTCATATTTTTCTGAATCTCAAAGACAGTCTGAAATCTCTTCCCTTTCCAAGGTGATTTTAGCTTTGGGAAAAGCAAGAAGTCTCAGGGCACCAACACTGGGCTGTAGTGGGGCTGGCTGAATCACCTAGGTGATTTGATGTTTCGCCAAAAAACTGCATGAGACATGATGCGTGAGCGGGCACATGTTGTGATGAAGCTGTCCGTCACCAGTTGCCCATGGCTGCGGCCTTCTGAGTTGTCCAGATAGATTCCGCAGAGGAATGTTCAAGCTTAACATAAAATCTGATGCAGATTCATTGCTCTACTCATTCAGTCATTTTGAATGTGACAGCCACACAGTACACATGCTCACTCAACAGTGTCTACCGCCCCCACCGACTAGTACAGTGAAGTCATCATTGTTCACACATGTGCATTCCAGTCCATTCTCCTTGGCTGGCAGATTACATCCCTATCATGCAAGCCATTCTCGTTTTATTAACAATGACTGGAGAGACCTCATTTTCCCAGGAGTAAGTTCACTGGGTCAAAAGGCAGATCCATTTTTTATTTTTTGAAGTATCCCCATTGCTTTCCATAGTGGCTGCACCAGTCTGCATTCTCACCAACAGTGTGAAAGTGTCCCCTTTCTCTACATCCTCCCCAGCACTTGTTGTTTGTTGATTTATTGGTGATAGCCACTCTGACAGGTATAAGATGATATCTCATTGTGGTTTTAATTTGCATCTCTCTGATGATCAGTGACATCAAGCGTCTTTTCATATGTCTTTTGGCCATCTGTATGTCCTCTTAGGAGAAGTGTCTATTCAGGTCCTTTGACCATTATTTAGTTAGGTTGCTTGTTTTTTTTTATGTTGAGTATTGTAAATTCTTTATAAATCGTGCATATTTACTGACATCCGATAAGGGGTTAACAACACCACCTTTGGAAACTCACTATAGTTTTATTAAGAATAATAAAAAGAGGTTTTGTTTTATTCCATTCTGTCACCTTGCTTGCTCAATAGAACCTGAATTATGTCATCAATAAATAAGGCAAATACCTCTGAGATGCATATAGTCATAACCTCTGAAACTATAGCTGAATTATCACTTTGTAATACCCATAATTTACCCATAATTTACGTAAGGTTTGGCAGGCCAGGACCCAGTGAAGGTAAAATGTAATCATCTCATGACAAAAATGACACGTCTATGAGTCAAAAACATGATTACTTTAATAAGGGCAGGAACTCCTACTGAACAAGAAAATGCCAAAGTGATTAGAGAATCTTAGTGGAAAGAGTGGCATAAACAAAAAGAAGCGGCCATCTGATTGGGCCAACACCCACCCGGGACGGTATATAAGAGCCGCAAAGCCAGAGGAGGTATTTGCATCTCAGAAACCTCATCTTTCTTTCTGAGAAACCTAAGCACACCAGATTGCCCCGCCATGGCTTGCTGCGCCCCCTGCTGCTGCAGCGTCCCCACCGGCCCCGCCACCACCATCTGCTCCTCTGACAAATGCTGCCGCTGCGGAGTCTGCCTGCCCAGCACCTGCCCACACACCATCTGGCAGCTGGAGCCCACCTGCTGCGACAACTGCCCCCCACCTTGCCACATTCCTCAGCCCTGTGTGCCCACCTGCTTCCTGCTCAACTCCTGCCTGCCCACCCCAGGCCTGGAGACCATCAACCTCACCACCTTCACGCAGCCCTGCTGTGAGCCCTGCCTCCCCAGCTGCTGCTGACCGGTGGCTGCTGCGCTCTGCGCCTGACAATGACGAACCCAAAACCTGTCTGTGTAGCGCTCACTCGCCTCGGTAATTCATCAGGTGTCGAGACAGACCAGATGGCCCAAATGTGGGAAACCCACCTTTCGTTTTAATGGAAAATAAAAATAAATTGTTATGGCTATTTGGCTCAATTATCATTTGGTTCATTTGGGCAAGTGAGTATTATCCACTATCAAAATATACTGACATCTGCAGGACCTCAGACACCATTTTCGTGGTCACATGGCTTCTCGGATCCCATGTCTCGCACTGGGTATTTTCACAGAGGAAAAAAATTCTTGATGGGTTTTCCAATAAACTTCATTCTTCTGGCAAGGTGTGTTCTTTGTGTGTGTTAGAGTTTTGGGTATATTTCTTTCATTTGTAAAGAAAGATAAAGATAAGGTGAATATTTTACTTTTTGAAAGAAGACTCTGTTGGAGAGGAATGACCAGAACTTGCTTACGAACGTGGCCTGCTCACTTCAAATTGGTTATCTTTTATCTTCACCTTTTCTCTCCTACTTCCCCAGACCCGTACGATCTGGGGGTGAGCCAACATTTATTGACCCACACTTTGCCAGGTAAGACACCTGTACCAACTCGTGTAATCCTTAAAACAGCACTAACAGATGAGAAAAATGAAGCTTTCAGAGTTTCCAACGTTCCCCAAGTCATTAAGTCAGTTACTAAGAAAACCAGAATGCAGGTCCTTGCAAGTGTGACCTGAAAGTCCAATTGTTTCTACCACATCGCAGAGCCACCAGTACTAATAGAACCAGAAGCTTCATGAATACAGTTATGGTATTAACTTAAAATACACGTGAGAAATAAAAACTGTAGGAATTTTAACAAAATCATCATATCCAGTTGTAATAGAAAAAGATATGTTGGCTCATAGATTAAAAGTGATAGGTGCTGGCCCTGGCTGGCGTAGCTCAGTAGATTGAGCGCGGGCTGCGAACCAAAGTGCTCCAGGTTCAATTCCCAGTCAGGGCACATGCCTGGGTTGCAGGCCATGACCCCCAGCAACCGCACATTGATATTTTTCTGTCTCTATCTCCCTCCCTTCCCTCTCTAAAAATAAATAAATCTTTTTTTTAAAAAATGATAGGTGCTCAGTTCTAAGATCTGGGGCGTTTAGTGGGCCCTGGTTTTCCCTTAGCGAGAACTTCGGGGGCTCAACTGCAGCAGCAGGGCGCTAGGAACGCATCTCCCCACCTGCCCCATCATCAGCACAGGTTCTAGCCCAGCAAGCAACAGAATGCCAGCACTTTTTGGCCCTAAGCTGAGAACTAGAGCTAAAACCCTGATTCAACACGATTTAATCTACTACTTCATTTTACTACTTTTTACCAACCTGCTGAATTTTTCTTGTGCAGATTACCCTTGGTAATGTGGCATATTATGTATAACATTACATACATGTGTGTGCAATGTTACAACCATGTAACACATGTGTAAGGGCACACGTCAAAATCTGAAGAAGCACCGAGCTAAAGCTGAAAGAATGCGTGTGGCAAAGGAAAAGGCAGGGCAAGGAAGGGGAGAAGCAAGTGCCTTTCAGCAGACATGTTTTTAAACGTCCTCAGCGTGACTGCCGGTCAAGACAGCAGAGGGGGTAAGTGGGGGTACTCGCATCCCCCCGACCACGTCAGAAGCACAGCTACCCTACGGGACGGCCGTCACTGAGAACCGCCTGCGGTCCAGCTGAACAGACGTCTTGTAACTAAGAACATACGGCAGGAACCGCACAGAGACTGGCAGGAGGGGCGGAGACTCGGAAGGAGCTGGTTCCACACCCACGTGCGGCGGTGAAGGAAACATGCTGAGACATTAGGGAAAAAAAAAGAATGGAGTCCTGCCATTTGCGACAGCGTGGCTGGACCCGGAGGGCGCGGCGCTGAGATAAGTCAGACAGAGGAGGACAGACACCAGGATCTCACTCACGTGTCAATCAAAAGAGCAAAATAAATGACCGAACAAAACAGAAACAGACTCACAGAGAACAATGTGGCGGTCGTCGGAGGGGCGGGGGTTGGGAGCTGGGTGAAAAAGGTCAAGGGATTAAGAAATACAAATGGCCAGTTACAAAAGAGTGACACGGATGCAAAGTACAGCACAGGGAATATAGTCAATAATATCGTAATGACTGTGTGTGGTGCCAGGTGGTTATCAGATTCATTGGGTTGGTTACTTCATACATTATATAAATGTTTAATCACTGGGTTGTACACCTGAAACTGGGCATGTGCTAATATAGTATTGTACGTCAGCTGTAACCGAAAAATAAATTATTTTAAAAAGTAAAAGATGAAAAATAAATGTCCTCGGTGTGCCCATCCGCCTCTCCAGAGAATTTCTCAGAGGATCCCACAGGCTCATGAGCAGCACATCTGCAAATGCGCAGAACTGTGAAGCGGCGAGGGAGACGCAACGCAACCCGGAATGCAGTCAACAGGGAACTCAGTCCATTTACTCGCTCACTTGGCCGACACTCCTTGAGTGCTTTCCCTGTGCCAGGAACCATATCCGTGCTAAGAATGATGAAGATAAAAGACGTGATTACCTAAGGCGCCCTCACGTTTCTCTCACATCTGGTGAAGTGCTTACAATCATGACTTACGTGCTCTGTACATGGTGAATGAGTATAATTACAGCACGGTGTGATTCCTGCTGTGACGGAGCCGTGAGCAGCCAGGATGCAAACACGCACCCAGAGTAACCGAAGCCCGGACCTGGTGATTCAGCATCGGGGTAAGGCGTGCTTATGGGAAGCTCTGAGCTCCCCCAGCTGAGCATTAAATGATGACGAGGCAGAAGGGGTGGGGAGCGGTTGTCTCAGACGGAACAGCGCTCACTAACTCACGGGCGGGGCGGGCGTGTGGATGATGGGGAGGAGAGAATGAGGCGAGCAGGAGAGAAGAAATGCAAAGACCCTGGGGGAGGGGGCTCCCCAGATGAAGGGGTTTACACTGAAAGCTTGAAGCAATGAGATTTGAGCCAGGAGACCAACAATGATGTTTTACTTCTGTGTCTTTGTATTGCCAGTCTCCAGCCATTGCCTTCGCTGTCAGAGACGCTCCTACTGCCTATAGGATGGTACCATTACTACTGGGCACGTGCTAGGCTGTGTGTATGCACGCATGTGTGTGTAGATTTCTAACACTTTGAAAATCTACCATGTCATCAGGAATCCCAGCGTTTTCCCTGCATTTGCTTAAAGGAAAAAGATACCCTTTGTTTCTATAAATAAAATATGTTTCCTTACTCTGACACATACTTTAAACTTAATGTTAAACCACATAAAAGGTAGCTCAGTTCCAATAGGCCCTATATTTAGTTTTTAACAAGTCAGTCACCAGACCATCTGAGGCAAATTACCTGTCCTCTCTTAGACTCACCGTCCTAACTTAGAAACAAAGGAGAGTAATTCCCAGGTCTCTTGACCACTGCAGAGAAAAGAAATTTTAATAAACTATTGCAAGTCTTTTCAATAAAAGTGATGAGTTTATTACCGTAAACTTATTTTACAACTGTTTCTAATGTGTAACCTTAAATCAAAACTCTACACAGGCCCTGGCTGGTGTGGCTCAGTGGACTGAGCACCACTTGTGAACCAAAGGGTCGCTGGTTCGACTCCCAGTCAGGACACATGCCTGGGTTGCGGGCCAGGTCCCTGGTGGGGGGTGCGAGAGAGGCAACCACATGTTGTTTCTCTCCCTTTCTTCCTCCCTTCCCTTCCCCTCTCTCTGAAAATAAATACATAAAACATTTAAAAGAGAAATATGCTTTTTAAAAAGTACACACAGAATAGCAACAATTCTTTTCACCTTATAACTTGCCTCAGGGTCATGCCGCGTTCCACAGAAGAGAGTGATCTCTTCTGCCATTATTCCGGTTGTGGGCGCCTACAAGCCCCCTTGTCACGTGTTTCTTAAAGTTTCTTAAAGTTTCAAAATAACTTACTTCTGCTTATTGTTCTTCTGCTATTAGAATCCAGTCTTTTTTTCTTCTTATCAAAATATGTGATATCAGTGATTTTAATAACAGATCAGGTGTGTGATGGATCTTCTACCAGACTCCCAGCCCGTGAGGGCAGGGCGGCGTTCGCCTTGTCCACTGCTGTGTGTCCGATGTTCGCCACAGCGCCTGGCACACATAAGAGCTTGATGAACGTCCATTAAAATATTTCTGAAATCCTGAAAGATATTAATCAGCCCTAAGGAAAAAGGTGGGCACCCTGGTGCATATTCACACCAAGGTAAGTCTGGGCACGAGGCTCAGGGACGCCCGCAGAGATCTTGAGTCCTTTCTTCCAACAGAGCCACGGAGAACTTTTTAAAATGTGAGACTGAGTGATTTCTTGCCAGCCGTTTTCTCTAATTGTAGGGGTCCTGGACCTAGAATCCGGGTCTTTCTTACCACAGATGCAAGGCTTGGTGGGGAAATGCACTGCATTGGGGAAAAAAAACAGAGAATAAAATCACATGTGAACAGACAGCTCAGGCCCATAACTTCACTTTCCATCGATAGGAATTTCATGTAAACACTAGCACAGGGTCGTAAATTATTATTTTACTTAGTATAAAGACATAAGCTAAAAATTCAACTTTCACATACTTAATAGTGAAGGAAACAGAGCAAGCTTGTTCTCAATAGAAAGAAAAAAGGCAATGCATATTGAAAGAATGTTTAAGCCTAACGTCTTGTAAGAGAAAAATACAATAATAATAAAATTTCATTTTTCACCCACCAACTGGCAGACACTTTTGAAATGAAATATGTATGAAAAGTATAGAGAAATAGGAATTCTCAAACACAGCTGGTGAAAATACATAAATATTTAGAAAGAAATGGGTAAATAGAACCATTCTGGAGGGTGATATGGTAATGAATATCAAAGGCTGTAAAATATTGTTAATTAATATTTGTTCCAATAATTCTACATAATAATTATTTCTATCCTGAAATAATCAGAAATGTGCATTACAATTTATATATACAGGTGTTCAATATTGCCACAACTATCATAGACAAAAGTTGAAAATAAAGTAAATAATGTAAAAAGTTTAAGTAACTGAAATGTACAATTATATAATGAATGCTAGGAAACATTAAAAGTAACATTATCAAATATGATTAAGAACCAAAGATGATGAAAATATATGTGTTTAGACAAAAAGGCAAATTATAGAACAGTAGGTACAATATGATTTCAGGAATATAATAAAATGATAAATGTATAGAAAAATGATAAGAGGGATGTATATAAACATTCATAGAGAATTTTTGTAGAGCACAAAATTATGGATGAGTTGTTTTCTTTATACTTTTCTATATTGTCCAAAGTTTTAATAAATATGCAACATTTTACAGTGAAAATAGAGCAGGTATTTTTAAAAGTCTGCCATATTTCTCAATAGTGCATTTCCCCTCATTAATGTAAGTTTGATCTTCAAAAGTCCTCAAACTAAACGAATACAGTGTGATATGCCAACTATATATCATTTTTAAAAAGCAATTAATTTTTTAAAAGGTCCTGACATTAAAAGCAAGTTACTAGAATTAAATTCAGCTCTTCTAAGCAAGAACACTTCATCGGCTCAGGTGGCCCGGACCGAGGTTCGGAAAGCAGAGACGCCGGCACTGGAGAGACACCTGCAGAGCAGGCCCACTAGGACGCAGTGCTCCGCAGCAGGGCTGGTGTGGGACTTCCGCCAGCAGAAGCCTTTGGTGCTGCCTCATAAAGCTTCCGTTCCAGTGACAAAGAGCAAGAGTAATCAGCTCCCATTTAGCCAGGAACTCAAATAAAGGTTAATTAGGAGAAGAGAGATTGTTTACAAGCATCTACATGTCAAACTAATCCAAGCATAATGGATCCACTAACATAAACAAGAACCAGGAAAGAAGCCCTCTGGTTGGACCAACACCCACTGGGGAGGGTATATAAGAACCTCAGAGCAGGGACATTCGCACCTCAGAAACCTCATCTGTTTTGAAACCAAACCCATAAAAAAAACCCCACCTATTCCCACCACCATGGCTTGCTGCGCCCCCTGCTGCTGCAGTGTCCCCACTGGCCCCGCCACCACCATCTGCTCCTCTGACAAATGCTGCCGCTGCGGAGTCTGCCTGCCCAGCACCTGCCCACACACCACCTGGCAGCTGGAGCCCACCTGCTGTGACAACTGCCCCCCACCTTGCCACATTCCTCAGCCCTGTGTGCCCACCTGCTTCCTGCTCAACTCCTGCCTGCCCACCCCAGGCCTGGAGACCATCAACCTCACCACCTTCACGCAGCCCTGCTGTGAGCCCTGCCTCCCCAGCTGCTGCTGACCAGTGGCTGCTGCGCTCAGCACCTGACATGGAAGGAGTCAACCCGGAAACTTCATTGCTCACCTGTCTCAGTACCTGCAACTGACCGACTTTGCTTTTGAAGTTGGAACAACGATGGTGTTATCATCAGCAACACCCACCCCCACCACCACCACCAACAAGAAACCGAGAGACTTTCACGGCCGTGTAGCAGATATCAGTAACGAAGGGCATTTTGAGCAGGGGGGATGCCTAGGGGGTTCCCAAAGTTGTCAGTTCCTTCCTACTAAAGTGTGTCTTTCTTCGGGTGTTTGGGAATTCTGCTTTTGGTCTTGGGTGGCGTCTTCCTGGAAACTGAGCAGCTTCTTCATGATCATCCTAATAAATTTTACGTCTCTGGCATAGCACAAATGTTTATAATGGCTTTGTTTTCTATCAGTTTGTTACATGTATGTGTTCACTCCAAAGCCAGCATTTTAAGAGAAACCGAGAACATCTACAAAACTGAAAATGGCAGCAGTACAAATATTCCGTGCCCGTGAGAAAACTAAATGGTCTTGTGCAAAAGACGGTTTGTTCTATTGGCACACACAGAAGCAGGCTTTCTCTCTCTCCCTTGTCCTTTCCAAAAGTGGTTCCAGATAGGCCGGGAAATACTGAGCATAAGCTGAACATCAAATATGATATAGTAACTAATCCAGTGGACCCGGTCTATTTATGCAAAAATGAATCATGTAAGGATGTTATTATTGACTTTTTATAGTTTGAATATCTACTGTATGTTCTGCATTTTACTGCCCCTGCTCGGAAGGAGCCGGCAGCCTGGCGGGCGAGGCGGACACATACACAGCACCTGCTCACGTCTTCGCGCAATTCACAGGTGTTCGCTGAATGCCAGGCATTGTGTGATAAAGAATACAAGCGTTCCACCAGTAGCATTAGGGAAGTGCTGTTTCGCTGTCACACTGAGGACAATGAGGGAATGAAGATTGCTGACATGGTGATAAGGAGGAGAAAGGCACGGGCGAAGACAACCCGACTGGGTCTGTGGTCAGAGGGGTGTGGGAGAGAAGAGGGCGTCAGGGAGACTAGGCAGTGGAGCCGTGTCGCCAACTGAGCAGAGAGTTGGAGAGAAGGGAGCAGAGGAGGAGGAGAGAAGTGTAAAAAATACTGTGTTCTGCTCTAGACGTGTCAAGTTTGAGGCATGAGTGACATATCTAATGAGAGTTTGGGCAGCTGGAGGTGGCACAATAGCCTTCTAGAAAGGAAGCAGGTGTATAGGGGAGGGTGCAGACTTCTGTGTAAAAATTCTTACCCAGTCCTTGCAGAGGGCTGGGGGCACGCGCACAGGATGAGATTCCATGAGGCCGGCAGAGAGCGGCTGTGGGGGTTTAAGAGCTAAATGGAGAAACCAGGAGTCGTTCCGTGCTGGCAGACATTGAACTGCCTGCCCATCCAGAGCAGACAAAGCCCTGTGAGGACCTCAGGCACTCGGTTACTGTCCCAGGAGGACACACTAAACTCTACCTGCCCTAGAAAAGCCTGAAAACCCGGGCCTGAGAGGGTCCAGAGGATCTTCCGGTGATTTAATTTCCTGTCAAAATTAAACTCAACATGCAAAACTCTGCAATATAATCAAGGCTTCCTAAAATGTATCATCCAGAACCCACAGCATATAATTAAAAATTGCCAGATATGTGAAGAAGCCGGAAAATGTCACCCATAATTAAGAGAAAAAGCAGCCAGCAAAAATAGGTCCCCAGATATGCAGATGTTAGAATCAGCAGACAAGACTTTCCAAACAGTTATTATATAAATATTTTCATAGGTTTAAAGGACAAAATGAACAAAATGTGAAAGGAAAAGAGTAGACAAGATAAGAAACCTCAACAGAAAAGTTTTACATTTTTATTTAATAAATTTAAAACAAATTAAATTTCATTATTTAAATTAAATAAAAGAGAAGCAAATGAAAATTCTAGAACTAAAGAGTACAATCTGAATTAAAGAATTCAATAGGTGGCTTTAATAGCATACTAGAAACTGCCAATTAGGGATTAAGTCAATAAATTAAGATAGATCAAAATGATCAAAACCATGCAGAGAAAAGTTGAAAAAATTTTTAAAAAAACAGACCCCGAGAAGCCTGTGGGACAATATTGACTCCATACACATGAAACTCCAAAACAATCTGAGAGAGAAAGTAGGGCAGAAAAATGGGGGGTGGGGTGGGAAAGGCTGACCTTTTTACAAATTTAGTGATATTTGATTATAAAATTATATTCCTAGTTCCAGTATTTTTAATTTTCATAAAATTGGGGCCTTTAAAAATGAGTGAATGCAAATACCTTCCCCCATTTGGTTGGTTGCCTGTTTGTTTTGTTGGTGGCTTCTTTCTCTGTGCAGAAGCTTTTTAGTTTGGTACAGTCCCATTCATTTATTTTTTGCCTTTACTTCCCTTGACTTTGGGGTCAAATTCACAGAATCCTCTTTAAGAGCAAGGTCCATTAAGTTTAGTACCTATGTTTTCTTACATGTAATTTATTATTTCAGGTCTTATATTTACATCTTTGATCCATTTTGAGTTAATTGTTGTATATGGTAACAGACAGTAGTCTAGTTTCTCTTTCTTCCATGTGGATTTCCAATTTTCCTAGCAACATTTATGGAAGAGGTTTTCTTATCTCCACTGTGTGTTTTTTGCTCCTTTGTCAAAAATTATTTGTCCATACATATGTGGGTATATTTCTGGGCTCTCAATTCTGTTCCAGTGGTCTGTCTGTTTTACAGTCAATACCATGCTGTTTTGATTATTGTCACTTTGTAGTATAATTTGAAATCACAGCGTGTAATACCTCTAGCTTCATTCTTTTTTTCTCAGGATTGCTTTGGCTATTCAAAGTCCTTTGTGCTTCTCAAAATATATAAAGAAATTATACAACTCAACACCAAAAAGTAGTCCAATTAAAAAATGGGCAGAGAATTTGAACAGACGCTTCTCTCAAGAAGACATACAAATGACCAACAGATATATGAAAAGATGTTCAATTTCACTAGGGAAAATGCAAGTCAAAACTGCAACAAGATACCACCTCACACCTGTTAGAATGCCTATTTCCAACAAGACAAGTAATAACAAGTGTTGGAGCAGATGTAGAGAAAAATGAAACTTCAAATGCTGCTAGTGAGAATGTAAATTCATTCAGCCACTAGGAAAACAGTGTGGAGGTCCCTCAAAACATAAAGAATAGAGTTACCATATGACCAGCAACCCCTCTTCTGAGTATGTACCCCCAAAATTTGAAAATACTTATTTGCAAAGATATATGCACCCCTATGTTCATTGTGGCATTATTCACAGTGGCCAAGACATGAAAACAACCAAAGTGTCCCTCAGTAGGTGACTGGATAAAGAAAATGTGGTACCTACATACAACGGCATGCTACTCAGCCATAAGGAAAGATGAAAGACTGCCATCTGTGACAACATGGATGGACCCTGAGAATATCAGGCTAAGCGAAGTAAGTCAGAAACAGTCAAGAACTATAGGATTTCACTCACATGTGGGATACAAAACTGAAAGCAAGAAATGGACAAACAAGACAAAGAAACAAACAAACACTCACAGGCATAGGCAACAACATAGTGGTTACCAGAGGGAAGGGGATGGGAAGGGTAAAGAGGGTCAAACATACGATGATGGGAAAAGATTTGACTTTGGGAGGGAGCGCATGATGCGATATACAATAATGTATCGTAGAATTGGTCCCTTGAAACCTATATAATTTTATTAACCAATGTCACCCCAATACGTTTAATTTTTAAAAAATGAACGAATGAATAAATGAATGGCAACAGCTCCATATAACAGAAGAAAAGCCCTCCGTAGCTTGGTTGTCCCTACTCTGAAGTTTAATCACTGAGGGTCTTCAAGAGACTGAAAGAATGTGACTTAGAATTTATATTTCACTCCCATTAGAGATATAGGAAAAAATTAGTCTCCTTGATCTAAAAACAAGGCAGAGGAAATGAGGACAAGGCAACTTTCAGGACATGAAAAGTCACAGCGCCAGTCGTGACCATCAACCAAAGGTCTGGTGTTGCATTTATAGTTTGTCCTGGAGGGCACACATTGTGCCCATCAACCCTGTAAGGTGACTTTTTGAGCTGTACACAGGCAGAGGTCATTTACACACACACACACACACACACACACACTCACACACTTTAAACCCAGTACACACTTCCCTCCTCTACCACGTGAGCACAGCAAGAAGACAAAAGCTTTGCAAAGATGGCTAATCACACACAACATTTTTATGGCGGTGGCACAAACAAATAAATGGTATTTAATGTGCTGTAACATTAATTCTAAAAGGAGATATGAACAGTTTTCAATGCACGGCATCAAAATCTGTAGAAATACTGTTTTCCTTACTTGTAATCAATCATATCTATAAATACTGATGGGCCAAATTTTCTCTTTCTTCCCTTGTTTTGTCCAAAGGACAATGCTTCCTATAAAGATTTTCTGGAAAAAGTCTTTTATCCTCCTGGCAGCTGCAAACCGTGTCCTTGTTTAGTAACCTGAAGTTACGCCTCTTTTATGAGGCATGATACTCTTCCTCCGCAAACAAGCAGCCCTAATGAATGTTCGCATGGAAACTGGCACCCCCAGCGGCAAAGACAACATCCGGTGCGTTCTGTAAATGCCCCTTGTGGGGGCTGTATAAAAATCCCGGGAGGGAAGGAGACCTTTGGAGGCAGGCGACTTGAGTTTGGCCACTGACCTCTGTCCCTCACTTCTAAAAGGATGACTCCTGACTGTCCCCCCACGTGCTGCCCTTCTTCTGAGTCCCACGCGGGGGTTTCTGATGGGGTAACCGCTTCCGCCTGTTCCGTGGAAACCACCAGTCTCCCCAGCACCTGTGCTGCATCCAGGTGCCAGACCCCGAGCTTCCTGTCCAGGCCTCTCCTGCCGTGCTACCTGGCTGGGAGCTGCAATATCCCGTGCTTGCTGGGGAACTGTGCTTGGTACGAGGACGGGGTGTTCAACAGCAACGAGAAGGAGACGATGCAGTTCCTGAATGACAGGCTCGCCAGCTACCTGGAGAGGGTGCGGGGCCTGGAGGAGACGAACGCGGAGCTGGAGCGCCAGATCCGAGAACAGTGTGACTCGGACATCCCACTGGTGTGCCCCGATTACCAGTGTTACTTCAACACCATTGAGGAGCTCCAGCAAAAGGTCTGGTGTCTCGTCGTCCTGATGCTCTACCTCCCCAGTCTGTGATTTGCTTTGTCTCCATCCTAGAGGAGGCTCGAGAAAGAAACCAGGGAAAAGGGACTTCCAAGCAGCAATGGGATGTAGGGGAAAGGGCAATGCACTAAAAGGCAAGAAACAGCCTTGACCCAAGGCTGCCACTAATTTTTTTAAAGATTTTATTTATTTATTTACTTACTTATTTACTTACTTATTTATTTTTAGAGAGGGTAAGGGAAGGAGAAAGAGAGGGAAAGAAACATCAATGTGTGGTTGCCTCTCACACACCCCTTATTGGGGACCTGGCCCACAACCCAGGCATGTGCCCTGACTGGGAATCGAACTAGGCTCCCTTTGGTTTGCAGGCCGGTGCTCAGTCCACCGAGCCACACCAGCCAGGGCACCACTAATTATTGAATGACCATCATATACTCACATACCTTGAGACTTTACCTTTATCATCTACTCTAGGGCCGAAATAATTTTAGGACTGTAGAAATGTAACTTCTCCTTAACTGTTAAGGAGCTGAAATTACGTTTGGCCCTTTGAAGGCAACCGTGAGGCTGATGTGGCCCCCGGTGAACATGAGTTTGACACCCCTGGTCTACGGGATGAGGAAAAACTGTTATATCTAAAATTGTTTCAGTTGGTAACAATGTACATCCATATTATTTTTAACAAAAGATATTGAAATGTCATCGTTTTAATCATATCATTTTACCTGGTAATAATTTTCTTTTCTTATGGATGAATTTTTATTATCATGGATGGGGTATAATCAAAATACAGACTACTCATGGAGAAAACTATAACTCAGTTCAACTGCCAGGGAGCTCCATTTCTTCCTGCAGTGACGTGGTTAGTAGCAAAAGCAGGCTAAAAGCTATTTTCCCCTTTTTTATAAAGACTTTTAAAAGAATAATAATGGCATAGCTGTTAAATTAGTAGATATTTAGATTTCTTTCAAAGAACCACTTATTGCTTAATAACTCACTTCCCAGATTTTGTGCACGAAGGCAGAGAACTCGCGACTTGCCATACAGCTTGATAACTGCAAACTGGCGGCCGAAGACTTCCGGTCAAAGTAGGTTTAATTTAAGTTCGAATACAATTTATGGTTATACCTCCTTCTCTTTCTCTCATATACACACACACGCACACATCACAGATATTCTCTACATAATATTTTCAACCTAACCATGCTCAAGAAGCCCAAATTTACCATCATTTGGGATGTAAAAGGAGTTACAGCCTGTGGCTTCCTTGAGTCCCTGTGTCGTTTGTTCAATAGCGTGGCCCAGCACTCAATGGCATCTAGCAGAGTGAGCATGCGCTGTCTGTCTTTCTCTCTCATTACGGAAGGTACGAGTCTGAACTGACTCTTCACCAGCTGGTGGAGAGCGACATCGGAGGCCTGCGCAGGATCCTGGACGAGCTGACCCTGTGCAAGGCCGACCTGGAGGCCCAGGCTGAGTGTCTGAAAGACGACCTGCTTTGCCTGAAGAAAAATCACGAAGAGGTGAGGAAAGTGGTGAAATCACTCAAAGAATGCAAGACGGACGAATTAAACCGATAAATCCCGTGTGTGCGTGTAAGCTGAACTTGGGGAGATGTTGTTAAAGCTGGCACGCAATGACCCCAGGCACTACTACCCCGCGGCCTGATCCCTCCTGTGTGCCCTGAGCTAAGGGAAGGCAGCCAACTCTTCCCCTGCCATTGCTTTTGTGGGGAAGGCAACTCCACAACTGGCTTGCCTTGGAGGCTTAACGCCACGCCCAACTCTAATCCATAGGGTATGAAAAGCCAGGCAGATAAACACTGTGTGTGAAGGCCATTTCCACAAGGGGATAACCACTCAGGCAATCTTTGGAGCAATATGTTTAAACTATTCTGCATGTATCAGCTTTTTAAATCACAAAATAGGAAGTGTATGATTATCCTATACTGATGAAGATAACAAGTGAGAAGCTGAATGCTTTAACAAAGGATGTTTTCCCCTCGAACATTTGTTGGTGGTAATAGCAGCTAGCATTTACTGAGACCGTACTATGTACCAAGGACTGTGTAAGTGCTTTATATGCGTATTAACTCATATATCTCCCAACGGCCCTCTGGAACAGGTAGAATCATTACACCCATTTTGCAGATGAAGAAACTGAGTGCTCAAGAGATTCCCTGTAGGCAATCTGAAACTAAACCCCGCACTTTTACCCACTACTCTCTAAAACAAAAACGGGGATGCCATGGCTGTCGAAGTGATTTTTTCCCCCACCACTCTGTGACACTCCTTACTTCATTTCCACTTTCAGGAGGTCGACTCGCTTCGTGGCCAGCTCGGTGACCGACTCAATGTGGAGCTGGACAGTGGCCCCATCGTCGACCTCAACGGGGTCCTGGAGGAGATGCGATGTCAGTATGAAACGGTGCTTGCCAACAACCGCAGGGACGTAGAGGAATGGTTCGCTGTCCAGGTCAGCACCGGGGGCCGTAAAATGACGGGCTTCCCGGCTTCTGCCGTGTTCGCGTCCTCTAACCGTGCCTGTGTTTCAGATGGAGGAGCTGAATCAGCAGCAGCTGTCCAGTGCCGAGCAGCTGCAGGGCTGCCAGACGGAGATCCTGGAGCTGAAACGCACAGCCAGTGCTCTGGAGATTGAGCTCCAAGCCCAGCAAAGCCTGGTGTGTAAGGGACAGACAGCTTTGTTTTGTCACTAAAGAGTTAGGCCCTAAGATACTATCGCCTCTTCCATAACCCAAAGGAGAGACCCACACAGTTCACATGGCAGAAAGTTGCAATCTTCAATTTGCCAGGATCACATTTTCTTGCCTTTCCCAAGTACCAGCTAGCAGCAGAAGTGAAAAGTCAGCAGCTGGCACTGCCCCAGCAGGATGCACTGGCCTTTGCTCTGGAGCTTGAGCAAGGTCCTGCAGCACCCTCCAGGGGTGAGGGGAGAGGAGCAGGACAGGGGAGCAATCTCTGAGCCAAAGGCGCTCAAGCATTCCAGTGGGTTTTAACTCTCTTTTGATTAGGGCCAATTTTTCAAGCTCACAACCACATCTATGATAAAGAATGCTAATTATACCTTGCATTCAACCCCTATCCTAACTTTCCCAGAATGCACACCTCAACCAGACCCTTCACTGCAGCCCACTCTGCCCAAGCACCAAGAATATTATGCATTCGAGATTGCATCGCCCAGCTGCCTGCAAATGCCACTGTGCGCGCCACCTTAGGTCCTACGGCGGGTATCTCGGTGAATAGTAGCTGAGCATTCAGATTGTTGCAGGCACAATTTAAGCCTCACAATGACTTTATGGGGTAAATCCCTTTACTAACCCCATTATACTGATGAGGAAAACTGAGGTCAGATAAGTCACAAGGGTCATGCAATTTCTAAGAAGTGAAAGTGGAAGCTGAATCCCAGTGGTTTAATCCCAGAGCCTCTTCTCTTCACCACACTACACCACCCCCCCGCCGCAAGCCCAAATGTTTCCTCCCAAATGCTGCTGATCCTCTTTAAGCTACACAGGTATACTGCAGGTTGTGATGGTGGTGGTAGTAATAACTAACACTTCCATAGCACTTAAAATTCCTACGGGCACTGTTCTCAGTGTCTTACACATACTAATCCATTTAACCCTCACCTCCATCCTATGAGGTCAGCACTTTGCACGGCCCACTTTTTATAAAATAACACTCAGGGAAGCTACGTAATTTTCCTCGGAGACTCTACTACACAGCCCTTTTTGCACTCTTTCTTTCTGCAGACAGAATCCCTGGAAGGCACTGTTGCAGAAACCGAGGCCCAGTACAGCGCCCAGCTGGCCCAGATGCAGTGCCTGATCGACAACGTGGAGAACCAGCTGGCGGAGATCCGCTGCGACCTGGAGCGGCAGAACCAGGAGTACGAGGTGCTGCTGGACACGAAGGCACGGCTGGAGGGCGAGATCGCCACGTACCGGGGCCTGCTGGAGAGCGAGGACTGCAGGCAAGTTCCACACGGTCGTCCTCCAAGTCACCTCGAGTCCCAGAGAGGCTCATGTAGGAGAATCCTGGTTCCCCAAGATCTGGCCGAGGTCAAACCTCCCTAATGTGTGAAAGGATCTTAAGAGTGATGAGAAGCAGCTGACACTAATCACATGACCATAGAAATGTTCAAAAATATTCTAAAATTATAAAGCAGAATAACCATCATTATACCACTTTCCATGGGGGGGGGGTGCGGGGGGGAGGGGGCTGTCTCCCATGCTCCTGTCTCCCATTAAAGGGAAATCAGGAACCTGCGTAAGATGGCATTTGCCAAGTGAAGAACACGCAGGAAATTGTATTCAACCGCCGCTGCTGCGGTGAGCACGAAGTGACGGCACTGGGTCCAGGGGTGACAGGCATGGGTCCAATGTCATTCTGCAAAGAGTGTCCTTCAGGATATAACTTGCGGGACAAGTTTTGGCGTGATTTTTTCTGAGTGGACATTTTATCCAGCTTTCCCTTATTCGGCTTAGTTCTAAATGGATTTTCCACAGGCTGCCCTGTAACCCATGCTCTACAACAAGCACGTCAAGCAACACTTGTGAGCTGTGCCCGGCGTACGTCCTCTGCACGATCGAAAACCACTGCGCGTGAGGCCTCCACGCATGCCCAGCACGGCAGGCAGGCGGAGGGATCGCAGCCAGCAGTGTCCCCGAAGGGAGGCGGGGCTTCAGCCAGGACGTCCGACCTTGAAACTCAGGTGGAGAAGACTCTCGTATCCTCAAGTCGTCCTCTACGCGTCCTTGGTATATCTCTGCTTTATCATTTCCTCTCCTGCCTGCTTACCTGTGACATTCTAGGAGCCCGTAAAGCTTTTTTGCTAATCTCCAAATAAAATGTAATTCATTCTTTTAGCGTGGTAAATATAACTTTGCTGCTTATTACTCTGGCTCTAATAACTCCACCCAAGTTAGCAAATAATAACTATTTGACGTCAAGGTGATTGTCTAAACCAATGCCAATAGTTTGATCTTGCATAAACCCAAGCTAAACATATATTTGAACACCTAAAATACAAATAGATTAATCCATATAAAATGTCAGTATCATAAAAGATAGCTGTATGTATCTTTCTGAGAGGAAACTTAAAAATATAATACATTTCATTTTATTTTTAATTATAAAATACCAGATTCCTTTTTTTTTTCAACTTGGCCCATGAAGTGGGTGGGGAATAAGTCATAATTCCATACCCTTAACATCCATTGTCAACATTTTGGGAACTTACAAGTTTTCTTTCTTAAAATAGGTTTGTCCATATAACATATCACTGTTACATCTGCATATAGTGGTATAACCTTTTGTTTTCACTATGTCATCTAAGCATTTTCAATATTAATAAATAGATGAGGAGGGACCCCCAAACCCAAAATTTATTTATTAAAAAATTGTGTATTTATTCTTCCACGCTTGAACTTCAGTCACCTCTAAAGTACGCTCCATTTGATGCAATACTCTTATCGAGACCCTTCTGCACTGCTCGAAACAGTTTTTGAACTCATCGATTTTGATGCCTTTTAGTGCTTCTGCCGGTTTTTGTTTCACCTCTTCCACATCAGCACAACGTTTCTCTTTGAGGATTTTTTCATCTGGGAAAACGAAAAAGCCACTGGGGGTGGGGGAAAAAGTTAGGTGAATAGGGAGGGTGTGGCACAGGGTTGATGCTGTTTTTGGTAAAAAATTACTGAACACTCTGTGCTGTGTGAGCAGGTGCGCTCGTAAATCACCCATCACGAAATGGGCAAATGCATTGAGTCTTCAAAAAAAATTCACTGAAGCCGAACAGAGCCTCTCACAACAACGCCAGCTGATGCACCGATGCAGATGGGTTCACACTCACCTAACAGGGGAAGCCTGTACTAAAAGGGGCCCACCCTGAAGAAGATAATTCCAGTTTTTCTAGGAGGGGGTTCCCTGCTCATATAAGATCATTTTGTGACCATTGTTTTAGTGGCCGCATACAATACCGTAAGCTGCATCGGTCTGTTCCTGGGCAGTTAGAATATAAGAATAATTGTTCTCACACACTGCAGAAGCAAAGTAGAGAACCTCCACTTCCAGAAAGACAAAGTAGAGGTGCCTATCCCCACTCCTCTTCCTAAGTAGGACTGAACACCTGGAAATTCCACATACAAATATAAGCAGACCCTGAGGGGCAGAAGCAGAGGCCAATCCATCTGGAGTCCGTGACATCCAAGCAGCAGCACTGGTGCGTCTCCTGGGCTCCCTCTTTCTCTCCTGTGTCCTGTAGTGGGAACCAGAGAGCCACCAGCCCAGAAACACCAACAGCGGCAGGCAGAGAAGGGAGACGAAGCTCCAAGAAGAGGTGAGTGAGGAGGGAGGGGGGTGAGGGGGGTGAGGTTTCTGTGCTTCACCTGAGGTGACAAAGGTCAGCATCGGTAGACTGTAGTAACTTATATACGAGTATATATAAGGTAATACCTAAAGCAATGACTTAAAAAGTTATGCGTAGACAACTTAAAATGCTATAAATAAACAAAACTGGAATTCTAAAACATGTTCAAGTAACGCACAGAAAGGCGGGAAGAAGAAAACAGAGAAATTGAAAAAAAAAAAAAAAACCAGAGGGAACAAACAGAAAACCAAAAATAAAACGGAGACCTAAGCCCTACTGTATCAGTAATCCCAGCAACTGGAAATCATCTAAACGCAATGAAAGGACAGAGACTGGCAGAGCAAATAAAAACACTAAATGCTTTCCACAAGAAGCTCACTTCAAATACAAGGATATAGGGGAGTTCATAGAGAGCGGGCTGATGGCTCAGGCCGGGGGGAGTTGGGGGGCAGGGATTGAGCAAAAAAGAAACAGGACTCACTCAGCAGTGCGGTGGTCGCAGGGGGCGAAGAGGGAAGGGGGTGGAGGTGGAAGACAGTATAAGGGGAATACACGGTAATGGGAAGATACAATTTAAAAAAGTAAAGGGATTGAAAAAACCCACAATTGTTCCTAGCAGCTGTGTTCATAATATCCAAAACTGGAAACAACCAAAATGTCCTCGGGCTCCGAACGCCCCTGTGGTAAGTGAAATGAGGCGATCTCGAAGGGCCTTAGACTGCATGACGCTGTTTACCTGACGTTCTTGAAACGACAAATTACAGCAATGGGGAACAAATTGGGCATAGCACAAAGGAGACCTTTGTGGTGCTTAAATAGTTGTGAATCTGATCGCCGTGGTGGTTACATAAATCTATACATGTGAAAAAGATTATAAGAACTAAACACACACATCGTATCAATTTCTTGGCTTTACGATTGTACTATAGTTGAGTGAGATACAACCACAGCTTTGCAACTTCCTGTGAATCTATAATTATTTTTTAAAAAAACAGTAGGAAGTTGGGGAAAAGTTACCCTTTTTTCTGTTTCTATTTTTTGAGGACTCAGAAATAAGTACATGATAATAATAGTTAATACAGGGTAGGTTTAAAGAAAAGTCGAGTTTCAGACCTAAAATTTTGTGCTAGATTTTTTTTACAGTGCGCTCTCCTGGTTTAACAATGAAAGGTAGTGAATGTACTCAAAATAAAATATTTTCCAGATACATAAACCCATGAAACAGTGTTCAAACCCCATTACTCTTCTGATAATGAGATTGGGAAGAAATTTAATGCTGTAGGGTCGCAAAATCACAAACCCGACCCACGTGGAAATCTCTGCCACATCCATTTCCCATCACCTGTTCTCTGCACTTCTGTGGTCTCTTTTCTGCCTTGGTTAAGGTTATGGTAAAAAAAAATAATAATTTTGTTTAGCAGTTTCCCCAGCATCTGTAACTTCCGATGAACTATATCCAATTTCCTCTCAAAAAGATGCACATGACTACCCTCCATAACATATAACAGTTTGCATGTCTAACCTATTTGTATTTTAGGAGTTAAAAATCTTTTCAACCTGGGTTTATACAAAAGCAAAGCAGAACCGATGTAGAAAAACATCTTTCATATAGGATGGCCACGTTGGGGGCTCTCCCATTACTGTTAGCCTATCACATCTGATTGTACAGTTTTTGCACAGTATTGTACCAATTATTGTGTTGAAGACACAGGTTAACTCTTGATCTGTCCACTTCTGGAGTTAGCCGCCCGGTCCTCAGTGGAGTGAGGATGGGTGCACTCAAGTTTTGCTGACCACGCTGCTCCACCAAAAAGTTCGATAACGGAAGGAAGGAAGAAGCCGCCCTCACGGAGGAAGTGCTTCGTAGTTCAGGTAACACGCATTCTAGGGTCAGGTAACACACCCTCACGGGGAGAGGAACTTTGGTCAAGCAGTAAAGAAGATGTGAAATGTCCAAGAAAAGAAGAGGGGCGGTGATGAAACGTGGCCCTGAAGGAATCGAAGGGGAATCAGCTCCCAGAACAAGGAAAGCCGCCAGCTGAGGGAAGAAAGAAGGAACAACTCTGCCCAAGAGGCACAAGAGGAGAAGAAAAATAGTAAGACGGAGAGAAAGGTATAGAACAGACGGATTAAGTAGTTTTCAAACTTTATTCTGGTTCTGAAAGTGATGCACTCAATTATTAGGATGCATATACAAGCATAAAGAAAAAGCCATTTATCAGTAATTATAAAGTGCGGAGAATCCCACCCTTAGCATTCAGATATATTTCCTTCCAGTCTTTTTCCCATGTTTTTAAAATTATGAAGGATTTCAAGTACTGTTACTTTTTAACGTCATCTTTATTGTTGACATTACAGTGGAGTCAAATTTATCCATTTTTCGTGGTTTCTTGATTTTTAGTCACTGCTGAAGAAGGCCTTCCTTCTCTGAGTTTTTAGAAGAATTCTGTTGCCTTTTAGCATGTGTACAACTTCTATTTTTCACAAGCGAATATTTGATCCATTTGTAATTCAAGTACATAAATAAAACAGTGACATTCATATAGCTAGAGAGCTGTATCAAATCTATTTTTATGTTAACCAGATTTTATCAGGACATCATCTTATATGATAAACTGCGTCAATTAAAAGGATGACGCGCCATGAAGTCTGAAGAGCACACACGGCGACCACGCAGCGGTCGACGAGAATTTCACGATGGAGGAGACCAGCCTCGGCAGTTCCTCAGGCTCCTTCCCGGCCCCTCGCCTCCCCCGAAAGGAGGCGGCCACGACTCTGATCACCTAACGCTGTGGATGAGCTTTGCCTGTTCTTGAAGTCATCATAAACGTAACCATACCGTTTATACTGTCTTGTGTCCTCCTTCTTCAGATCAACACATTGTTTTCTAGGTTCTCCCATGCTGCTGTGAGTACCAGTAGTTTATCTGTTTTGTTGTTGAGTTCTGTTCCGTTACACACACACACACACACACACACACCCCACAGCTTGTGGAGCCATTACTCTGCTTGTGAGCAGTTGGGCTGTTTCCACCTTGTGACACTAGGAATAAGCACTCTCACACAAGTCTGTCTGTGTACATCACTCATTTGTCCCGGGCGCACACCTCGTTATAAAATCGCTGGGTCGCAGGAGAGGTCCTTTGTCAGATATACCGAGAATATTTTCACCCAGCACGTGGCTTGCCTTTCCATTTTCTTAGCGGTATATCTGAACCAGCAGAAGATTTCAATGATAATGAAGCTTAATCAATTTTGTATGATTAGCGTTCTCCACGTGCTACACACAAGATGATAAAGATAGGCTCTGTTTTCTTTTAAAAACCCTGTATGTAAAACCTTCACATTTAAGTGTTTTAAACCCATCTGGAATTAATTTTTATATATATTACGAGGCAGAGTGCAAGATGTGCTAGTTTGGGTACACAGTTATATAACTGATTCAGCAGCATTTATTTAGAAGATCTCTCAGTGGCTGATTTTGGAAACTTTGTCAAAAGTCCATCCACTACACATACGTGAGCAGGTTTCTAGACTGTATTCTTTTTCGTCGCTCTCTTTGCCGACATCACACTGCTCTGATTGCACTACAATTGTAGTAACTTGTACAGATTTACACTCCCACCGTCAGTGAGTGAGGGTGCCACACACGCAGTCCAATGCACGTGGTATCAAACTTGGGTTTTCTTCAATCTGATAGATGGAAAAATGAAATATCTCAAGGTAGTTTAAATGTACATTTCCTATTTATTTATTTATTTATTTATTTATTAAGATTTTATTTATTTATTTTTAGAGAGGGGAGAGAGGGAGAAAGTGAGAGAAACATCAATGTGCGGTTACTGGGGGCCATGGCCTGCAACCCAGGCATGTGCCCTGACTGGGAATCGAACCTGGGACACTTTGGTTCACAGCCCACGCTCAATCCACTGAGCTACGCCAGCCAGCACTTGTGCATTTCCTTTTTTTATGAGTAACATTGAGCATCTAGGACACTTTTTCAAAACGTCTTTTATGTTTTCCTTCTGGTCACTGTCTTCGGTATAACTGCGAATATTCTTTCCCAGGTTTTCCTCTGTCTTCCGATTTTGTAGGTTGTATTTTTTTACCCAGGCACAAGTTAGCTGATGTAGTCAAATATATGTTTTTTTATATTTCCTTAATTTTGAGGCATATTGGAAAGGCCTTCTGAGTGCAAATTTATAAAAGATTCTCCTATGGTTTTTTAGCAATTTATGATTTCATTCTTTTTTTTAAGATTTTATGTATTTATTTATTTATTAGAGAGGAAAGGGAGGGAGAAAGAGAGAGAGAGAAACATCAATGTGCGGTTGCTGGGGGTCATGACCTGCAACCCAGTCATGTGCCCTGACTGGGAATCGAACCTGCAGCACTTTGGATCATAGCCTGAGCTCAATCCACTGAGCTACGCCAGCCAGGTGATTTCATTCTTCACATTGGAATCTTTGATCAATTTGTAGTTCGTCCTGCTGAATGGTATCATCCAACAGGGCCTGCCCTGCCTCTCTGCCCCACGTGTTACAGAACTGTCTCCAAACTACACAGGATAGCCTGTCTTTTCCCCACTGATTTTAAATGTCACATTTATCTAGGTGGGAGTCTATTTCTAGACTGCTTATTCTATTCTAAAAAGTCACTTTTTGAGAGGGCTGCAACGAATTTATTGGGATCTAAGTTACATTAATGTAGAGAGAATTGACAGTTTTATAATGATGAATACAGCATTTCAGGTCAAGAATATGATATATCTTTCCATTTATTCTAGCTTTAGTATTTTCTTCGTGTCAACCTTGTACCTTTCTAACTAAATGTATTCCTGCATATTTCATACCTGTTGGTGCTATCGTAAATTATGCTTTTTCCTTACATCATGTGGCATGCAGAACAATGGGCTCCTAAAGCTGTTCATGTCCTAATCCCAGAACCTTTGACTATGTCAGGCTACATGGCAGGGGGGAAGTCAGGTTGTTCATCGGCTGACCTTTAAATAGGAAGATGATCCTAGTGGCATGAGTAGGCCCAATATAATGGTAAGAGGCCTTAAACGTGGAAGACAGAAGCGCAAGAGTCGGCGTCAGAGTGATGCACGTGAGAAACTCCCGACTGGCCGTGGCAGGCTTTGAACACGGAAGGGGCCACGGGCCAAGGAATGGGGGCAGCCCTGGAAGAGGCAAGAAAATGATTCTCTCCTAGAGCCTCCCTAAAACATCAGGAACTAATAACTTTCTTAAGAAAAGGCTGAGTAACTATTCCTGAGAAAGAACACATATACCTTTCTACACATCATACTGAAACACCAAATATAAACCAACACCGTCACAATTTCTCAGCTAATGTAATACCACAAGCCAGCACTGGGCACTAGAAATGTTATCAAATGTGGGCTTTGGAAAAAACAAAAGGCAACCAGCCTCTTCTTCAAGAAATTTCTTGTCAGCAACCAAACCCCACCTGCAAAGGCTAAACCAGAAATTTAGCAAATTCCCTCTAAAAAGAGCTTCATTTAAGACTGGCATTTTAATCCATACTCAGTACAAAATGGAGAAAACAACTAGGCAGAACAGCAAGGAAGAAAACAAAGAAAAGCAAATGGTGAGAACAAAATAAAATACCGGTTTCTAAGTTCACACCAGTGATTAGCAGGTATTAGTCGTTTCCCTTTTCTGGAAAGGAGAGGAAAAAGAAATGGACTCGCGCCTGGCCAAGCCCAATGCCAGGGGCAGAGGTCAACGAGGACTTAATGAACTCAATATACTCACACCCACTTAATGATCAGCGCTGCTAGGACTGTGCAGCAGTTCCTTTGAAGACATCGTGTGAAGCTCTGAGTCCAGTGACAAGTAGCAGTTGCGACGGGTAATAACTCCGCGCACAGCCTGAGTGCACACTTTTACGAGACGGGTAACTCTTCTCAGGCAAGTCAAGAGCAGACTAATGAGCTGTTCCTACGGGACTCGATCCAAACACGAGAGAGGAAAACATCCTGGCGGCTCTGACACCACCGAGAGGAAAGGCTATATAAGCCCTTCGAAAGGAGAAAGCCGCCAAAGGCTCAGGGTGCAGACTCACTGACAGCAGCTCAGGCTTTGCATCCAGAGGAACCACAGACTCTGAAGTAAACCAAAGCTGGGCCCACGCTATGGATACCAAGGACTGTCCAACCACTATTTCTTCTTCGACATCATGCCAAAGCTGCTCTAGGATTACCAATTTTGGGATCACTTCTTCGGACACCAGCTGCCAGCGTGGTGATCTTGAGGCCAGCAGCTGCCAACCAACTGGCCGTGTTCTGAGAACCCTCCCGCCCCGGGGCCGCCAACCTACCCGCTGCTTTGGTCCCATGCCCACCTGCTTGGCGAACAGCTTCAGCGCCTGCACCTCTGGGGATGACTGGGGCTGGTGCGGTGAGGGCATCAACAGCAAGGAGAAGGAGACCATGCAGATCTTGAATGGCCGCCTTGCTAACTACCTTGAAAAGGTGCGAACGCTGGAACGAGAGAACGCTGAGCTGGAGTGTAAAATCCAGGAGGAGTGTAACAAAGAGCTCACTGTCGTATGTCCTGATTACCTGTCCTACTACGCGACCATCGAAGAGCTCCAGCAGAAGGTAAGATTCTCGGCAACCCGTACGGTCAAGTTTTGCATTGACGTTCTCCCAGCAACAGTCATTTGCTAAACTTTGATATGTTTATTTCCTTTTCTGCTGAAAAATATGTTGTGGAATCAGAAAATGTTTTGAATGAAATCGTCATCTTGATGCACTATTCAGAGTTATATTCGTGGCGTTTGGTTTTCCAGAGAAATATGCTCTGCTGTTATTTTAACCAGCTGACTCGGGACCAAAATGTGTTAACAACATATTGATGCCATTTCTTTAACCAAAATAAGAATACAGGAATCCGAGAACATGAGTTTTGTGTTAATAAGTTTCTAACCAGTTTAATTTTCATCCATGTTTTCAATCTTCACCCCTTTTTCCATTTGATGCTTATTTCACCACCTCCCAATTGTTCAAAGAGCTTTTTCCCACGCCAAAGCTGACTTTCCAATCAGAGTGACATGCTGCTGCTACATGTGCTGGACTTACCGTATTTTGCCACGTATAATGCACACCACGTTTTAGAACTGAGTCCCGTGGATGATTTGCATTATACACATGAATTAGTACTGCCTATGTATAATGCGCATCCTCATTTTTCCCTCAAAAATTTGGGCAAAAAAGTGTGTGTTGTAGGTGACAAAATACGGCATTCTGTTTATTAGCTTAACAAATATTTACTGAGCACAATGACGAGGCACCAGACACTATTGTAGGCTCTGGGAACACACTGGTGAACTGAAACATCCCTGCCCACCTGGTGTTCGCATTCTAGTAGATCGTGGTATGTGATGCAAATTTAAGGTAGGCTTTATAGTTTCATGGTCACACATCTACTCAAGCTTTTATTGAAGTAATCTTTGCTTAACTTTTAGGAAAATAACAAAGGTTCTCATCTTCCAAACTTGCCCAAACTTCCCAAGGATAGCTATGAAAAGCCTTTCCCGGTGGACTGAAATACGTGGCATCCCCTTGGTTTGTAAGGAAGGGACCTTGGTGTGTGTCTCATTTGTGTGTGCAACTTCTTAATTCTAGATCTTGTGCACCAAGGCTGAGAATTCCAGACTGGTCTCACAAATTGACAACACCAAACTGGCTGCTGATGACTTGAGAGCCAAGTAAGCCCGCCCAGCCCCGTCTGTCATTCACGACAGAGTCCGCCCCGCATTGGACGCTAAACTCCCAATAAGATTATCCACACGCCTGCTCGCCCTCCTGCCCATACCGTGATGGCGCTAGCCCAGAAGAGACCTTCAAATCCAATACACTATTGAGTCTAATAACCACTGACATGTTGTATGCATGTAGCTATGGTTTCTAACACATAAACCCATCTGATTACCTAAGAGTTTAGTAACATAGGTAAGGCATATATACTGTTACCCCATTTAAGGTGAGAACACTATGGCTTAATGGGGTTCAGTTACTTATGCGAGGGCATGAAGCCAGTGCAAACCAGAGCCCCCAACTCGGATGCAAACTCTCTTAAGTCCCAACCCGATGCTCTTTCCACTTTCACTGCCTCACCTCGAGGGGCAGGGCAAGGAGGATCACCTCCCTCATCTCAAAGAAGAGCTATGTAGCATCACTCTGGCAAACAAATGTAGGAACAATAATCAAGTGGTGATCTTTATCAACTGATTTCAGCTTTAAAGAAAATGAGACACACAAGAGAAATACGGTAAAGGAGAGGCCGAGAGGAAAATGCAGAAGGACATTCTGTGCGGCTTGATGGTCACCACCTGCATGTTAACGTCTTTCACTTCATGCCCCGTTTTGAAAGGTATGAAGCGGAGGTGTCCCTGCGCCAGCTGGTGGAGGCGGATGCCAACAGCCTGCGGAGGATCCTGAACGCGCTGACCCTGAGCGAAGCTGACCTGGAGGCACGAGGCCAATCTCTGCGGGAGGAGCTCCTTTGCCTCAAAAACCACCACGAAGAGGTTAGAGAAAGCCCCGCCTAAGGCTCCAAAAACAACACGGATTCCTCTGAATTGAACTTGACAAAGGGTGTCGCCTCTAGATAATCTGGTTTTTAGTCCTGATGATGCCTGCATTACTACGACTGGTCTGATGTGTTTCAAATCAATTGCCTGTAACACAATATCTGAAGCCTCTTGCTGTCCTCTCCTACCTTTCCAGAAGAAGGAAGCAACCCGGATTTATTGTCCTCATAGATTTCTCACCTTTTTTAAAGAAAAAGATTTTATTTACTCATTGTTAGAGAGGGGAAGAGGCGGAGGAAGAGAGGGAGAGAAACATCAATATATGGTTGTCTCTTGTATGACCCCCACCCAGGACCTGGCCTGCAACCCAAGCATGTGCCCTGACTGGGAATCGAACCGGCGACCCTTTGGTTTCCAGGCCGGCCCTCGATCCACTGAGCCACACCAGCCAGGGCAGCTTCCCATCTTTCTGTCGGCATCCCTACACAGATTCCTGCCCCTACTGGTGTAAATCGATATTGGCATAAGCCTGTATCAGCACTGGAGACTATGGTCTCTCATAAATTCCACCTCTATGCTGCTTCATCCATTCACCATCCCTGGAAATTATCTAAATTCTTTAAATCCCTGCGCTTGCTAGTCACTTCCTCTCAATGCTGCACATATTTGAACACATAGTCATACCTGAAATAGCTTTAAGTCACTTTATAGCAACTCAAATGCAGCTGTGAATCATGTGTTCCTTTATTGTGGGCTATATTTCAGACTCAATTAAGCTAAATTGTTGCTGTTAGGCAGAAACAAGAACGAGGAAGTCATCTATTCACCAAGGGACTTCACACCCTCTTTCCGTCCATAGGAAATCAACTCCTTACAGAGCCAGCTGGGGGACAGACTGCACGTCGAAGTGACCGCTGCCCCTTCTGTGGACCTCAACCGGGTTCTGCAAGAAATGAGGTGTCGGTATGAGTCTGTCATGGAGGCAAACCGCAGAGACGTGGAACGATGGTTCAACCTGCAGGTAGGGAGCGGGGAGAGTCAAAACCAGTGAGTTGGCCTTGCACTTGCAGGGGCCTTTTCATCCAAGCGATGATGTCCTTCACGCTCTCCACCACCTTTGACTGTGTTTCAGATGGAGGAGCTGAACCAGCAGGTGGTGGCCAGCTCTCAACAGCAGCAGAGCTGCCAGAAGGAGATCATCGAGCTTAGACGCGCCGTGAACGCTCTGGAGGTTGAACGGCAGGCCCAGCACCGCATGGTACGCGGCCACTGACCGAGCCCAGCACAAGAGTGGTGGCGACGGCCCCTGACACTAGCAGGCTGCAGCGATGTTTCCCAAACTGCGTCCCTCAGAGCAACAGTCCCTCTGTTGGTTAAAGGGTCCATGGCCAAAACAGGACTTGGTGGTCAGCTAAGCCTGGGAGATGCTGGATGAAACAAGGGTTGAACAGGGGGGCCTTCCTGGGGGCGTTGGGTAAGCTGGCACAGGTACCCTGCCTCCCCCAGAAGGGGGTGTATGGCATTCAGCACTCTGAAACTTATTTGAGTGTGGACCCCTTTTTGAAAGAGTATCTCATGGCCGCAATGATCCATGAATACACTTTGGGAAACACTAGAAGAGAATTTTATGTAATGCAAAGCATTTTTACAAATTATCGAATTTATAAAATAACCCTCTGAGAGGGGGTGGCACAGTTATGAAGCCAATTTTATGGAGGAGCCTTGGGAGGCGAAGTGACTTTCCCAGATCGTCTCACCTGTCTTGTAGGTCCCAGGGCATTAGGTCCCAAAGGAAATGAAAGTCTGAGCCAGAATTCAGGTTTCAAAGTTGGAACTGATCGCGCTTTTCTGAAGTAAAAAATAGTTCAGTGCTCTGGTACGAAGGGGATTAGGGAGACCTTGCCCCGAGGCCGGCTTTATCACGAGCTAGTCACATGTCCGGGACAGCTCATTTAAGCTCTCCAGCCTCAGCGTTCTCATCTATAAAAAGCGGGATAATCATGCAAATAATAGGTTATGCCAAAACCTAAAATCCCATTATCCATAAAACTTACAGAATGATAGAGCAGGAAGGAACTTGCATCATCCGAGTTTCGGCTCATAGTCTGCACATGAAAGAGCGGATGTGATGAGGGGACTGTTTATGGCTAATGCTGCTCACTTCCTTTTTGAGGTACAAACACTCCCCGGGTACCACGGTAATGGGTTTTTAATTCCTAGGTGTGAGATAAGCTGGAATATTTTTTTTCTTTCCTAGGTAGGAAAGTGTGGTAGGTGATTATCTAGTGATTAAGAAACAGGAAGATACGTGGCACTTGGATAAAGGGAAGCAAGCTTAGTACAGCTGATAATTGTGTTTTTGGATGTATTTGCTTCGGAGATAATAAGAGGGCTTGGAGATTCGTTGGTACCTGGTACAAAGGAACCCGTGTTGAAATGGTACAGATCACAAGGGGCCTGGGCTTAAAGCAGTCATCACGATAAACCCTGCTTTCCTCCTGCCTGGCAGAGGGACTCCCAGGAGTGCATGCTGGCGGAGACAGAGGCCCGCTACACGGCCCTGCTGACCCAGATCCAGGGTCTGATCGATCACCTGGAGGCTCAGCTGGCGGAGATCCGAGCGGCCTTGGTGTGGCAGAACCAAGAGTACGAGGTTCTGCTGGACATCAGGGCGCAGCTGGAGAGCGAGATCGCCACATACCGCGGCCTCCTGGAGAGCTCGGACTGCAAGTACGTTGAGTAAAAACATTTTCAGGGGAGAGACACTCACACACACATAGGCGCCACCCCTGGCAACCGGGCGGCAGGTGCTTTGACCTCCCCAGTGACGGGGAGCCTGGGACCCAGGGGACCACACACTCTCTCAGGCTGTGTGCCACTTGGAGATCTGCAGTTAGAACCCAGTCTAGCTTAGCTCAGTTGTTTTGAAGAGTCCATGTGCCCGGTTAGCTCGTTGTAGGTTTTTCAGCTTCTTAAGAGTTTTAAAAATTACTAGGGGAAAAAAATGGTTTCTTGGAAGACGAGCATTCTTGGTGACATGCAGGTGTCCCCCCCTGAAGGGGACGTCTGCACTTGGTGGACTCGAACAGAACGGCCCTGCTCTCCTGGGAGGCACCTGCTCAGGCCAAAACACCCGACTCTACCCAGCCGCCTTTTTTCTCGATGCTAAAACCATCACATACAAATGTGTGTTTCAGCATATTTTTCCTAGACGTTTTTAAATAAGAAGTGTACCAACCCATAAGAAATTGATCCAGAGCATGGGCTCTTTGAAGCAACTCAGTCCGAACTAACACTCCAAAGGCAAACTTGGTTACGATTGTTAACAAGACATCCCTCCCCAGAATAATCCGTGGCGTCGGTTCATCGAGTTCTTGTAACTGGCGTGTTGGCGCTGTGCTAGCACAGTGTTGACCAGCGCTACCACCTGCAGGAGCTGCGATATAGCGAAGGGCCTTGAGTCAGCGAAGAAAGATGACGCTTTCTGAGGAGTTCTTACTGCTTCTGACTCCAGTTCTCTAAAGATGGCCCGTTTACAAACACCCGCAGACAGCTCTTGGGAGCGTCCTGATGAAGCTTTGAGAACTCTTCCGTGGGAGCGGTTCAGGCCCCCAGTAGTCCTGCAATTAACCCTCTGATGGGAAAGGTGTCTGATTAGCTTCCTTTCCCCGGGTAATAAGCCCCTCAACGTGTGCCTTCTCACTGTCCTCCCTGTGAGTTTAGTTCCCTTTATATCCACTCTGCGGATGAAAAACTAGAGTCAGGAACAGTCTGAGGGCGCCAGCAGGTAGCTGGCAGAGCTGGACCCCTCCTGGTCTTGACCCCCCACACGGTGTTCCCCCGTGAACAGGGCTGTGGCGCTCCCTGGAATGGGAGCCCACACAGCCCGATACTTCTACACCTGGGATGCTGCTTTCCCGTGGATGTGGTCTGGTTCTTCTTCTTCCTCTAACAACAGTACAAAGTGAGGCAATAAGTGTTTGTTTTGAACGACACGTGTTGAAAAATTAACCACCACCATCTTTGCCTTCCCTCAATCACAGGTAAAATTCTGTTTTCTTCTAGGCTCCCCTGTAACCCGTGTGCCACCGAATGTGAGCCTTCCGTTTGCACGGCCATGGAATGCGCAGCCCCAGTGCACACGGCACCCTCAGCTCCCCGAGGGACGCCCGAGCCCTGCGGTGCCTGCAGAGCCCTGACCCACCTCCTGGGTAAAATCTGCACTGTCACCAAGGAGATCAAGGATGGGAAAGTCATCTCTTCTTACGAGCACGTGCAGCCTTGCTTCATCATCAGAGCTGCCCAAGCCTAGCCCCCCAGGGTGACAAAAATGGCCCTCGTTCATGAAACAGGCCAACACTTGTTCCTGCCAAAAAGGCTTAAGGGTTCCCCAGCCCCTGCAGGTACTTAGTTTCTTTCTACTACGGTGGGTCGCCATCGACGGAATAGCTTTCATTCTGCTCCTTCCCCAAGTGTCCGTTGCCACGCTGACGCCAACCGACGTCCTCTGGAAGCACAGCTCACACTCGCCTGAGGAGCGAGCACTGAGCTGTCGGTGCCCAAGAAGCTGACCTACATTGCTGCCCACAGGTGGCGGGCAGGTTTCCCTTCTGTTTGCTCAGGCCGTACCGACTGACGTTCCTCACCGGAGCCAGTCAGACGAGTTCTGAGGTTGTTTTTGGCTGTGGCACAGGAAGGTGAAAAGCTACCACCTTCCCTTCTTAACTCCTTCTGTGAATATAGAAAGAAGCTCATATGGGAACAGCATGAAGAGAGAAAAAGATCTTTATTTTAGTATTTAGTTTCTTTGAATAGATTGTCCTGAATCTGAATCCTGTGGAACGCTGCTGTCTTAATTATTGTTTACCCATACTTACATAGTTTATCGTCCGCAAGATATTTTTAAAGATATCTGTGCTATCCAAAACTTCGGGAACCATAAGGCTCTCCAAGTACTTTCATTGAAAATCAGGAACAATTATGGGGAGTGAATCTCCAGCATGTTGAAGAAATAGCATGGGTCCTCTCATGAAACATTTGCTATGCCTCTCTCTATCCTTTAGGGAATGGGGTTTGGTTCTGATTGTTTTACAAGGGACAGGTAGCTGGAACTCTCGAGACATAACCCTGCTCCTCTATCTCCCTGTGATGAGTGACTGTGAAAAAATAACTTAGATGCCTGCTTCAGTCTATCTACCGGAGAGAAATGGACTTAACATTCACAAACTTCGCAAGAAACTAATCATGAATCATTGCTATTTGCAAGCTCGAGGCAGTCCTGGAGCAACAAGGCATCGTTTACGCCCAGCCATGCTCAGAGCTTCTTACAGTAGGTCACAGAGCATGTATATCATTTCCTACACAAATTATTTGACATTTCCAGAGGTTTTAGTAAATAGTTCCAAGTGAAACACAGAATGTGGGGCCAAAAAAGCCTGAAGTCCTACACTTCCCACTTCCTAACTGCAGCCCTGGACAGAACTCTTAGCCTGCCCCTAATTTAATTTCCTGGTTTGTTAAATGTGAAGATCAAATGAAATGGTTTAGATAATGCTGCTTTGTATTCTGGAAAAGCACTACATAATTGTCACTTTTATATAAGCTTTGTTTTTAGCCACAGACCTAGACCTAAGGTTGCCATGATGATCTCAAGTTAAAATTCTTTCTCCGTGAATTTCGTTATCCAGTCATGATTTGGGAGTTTTAATAGTGTTTGTCTTTGGCGGGGGGGGCGGCAAAGAACAGGTCAAGCTCCCACACTGCTACTCCATAAAGCATTTTTGAAGTCTTGGGATACGTATCAGGTATCAGTTGCTGACTGACGCCCACATCAAAGACAAAAGCATGAAGTCACAGCTCAGCAATCCACTTCCTGCAGACAAGTAGCAACTTAGACTGCGCAAGTGGAATGCAGAACACCCAGAGCGATCTCTTTTCCACCGGTAATTTCTGTCTCCTCTGAACGCCCAGGCCTCCCCTGCCCCACCCCACCCCCGGAGCACTTAACTGCATACTCTCTCAGCCTGTGGGAGGACATGTGGAAAGAGCATGGGGCTTGGACCCAGAAACCCAAGTCTCAACCCAGCCTGTGTGCGTGTGTGACCTTGAATACAAGGGACGCAGCTCGAGCCCTGCCTCCTGCGTGGCCAGAAGGATTAAATGGGATTGTGACAGTGCACGGTTTTGTAAGCAGTAAAGTGGTCTGCGGAAGGGAGTTTATTCCCCAGGTTAAAAGCCAGGCACGTGTCACTTCCTCCCAGGCCATCTCCCTTGGGGTTGGCTCAGGGATGGTCCCCGGTGGGCCCCACACGTACCATCAGTGCAGCCTGGGAAACCAGCGGCTGAGAGGTCGGAGCTGCTCAGTCTGCGCTGAGTTTTGATTCCAACAAGATTCAGGGTGTAGGAACCTCGCTGGACTCAGGCTGACCTGCGGCGGATGCGGCAATGCCCTGTCACTCTATCCCAGAAATAGGACGTCTTCCTCCCACTCGGCAAAGAATCCCCCATGCCTTCCATGATAAAAATAAATTACCGACTGCACAGTCAAGAGGGCGTTCGGACACCCAGGCGTCCGGATTCTGTGAGTGCCCTCTCGATACCAGGACATGTAGAACCATCTGCTGCACCTTGTATCTGACTGGTCGGGCCTTTGACTTATTTATTTTATGTGTTTATTGGTTTTAGAAAGAGAGGAAGAGAGAGAAAGAAACATCTATCTGTTGCCTCCCATAGGTACTCTGACCGGGGACAGAACCCACAACCTAGGAGGTCACGTGGCATGACCAGGAAGCAAACCCCCAACCTTTTGGTGGCTCCAACCAAGCCACCCGGCCAGGGCAAATGGTCAAACCTTTCACAGGCAGTTAGGAGTCTGGATTTTTACCCAGAAGCTAAATCAGCGTCCTATACAGCCACAGGAGGGAGTTAAAGGGTTTTTTTGTTGTTGTTGTTGCATTGTGTTTTTTCCACAGTTCAGTGTTCAGCATAGTTCGGCAGCTGGAATAGAAAAGGGGCTGATAAAGAGGGGGAGGGTGGAGTCAATGCAAGTATAATTTTAGCACAGCTCAAAAGACAGCCATGAACCAGGAAACAGCACAGTCTCTGGAGCCTGAGTTCAGATCCCACCACCGCTTCTTCACTCTGGTTATGGAGTCTTTCCGTTCACAGCTTTTGCTGTCTGTGACACGGGGGTATCGGTGATACCCACCATCCGATCACTGTGAGAATCAAATGAGCTAAAAAGCGGGTAAAGCACTTAGAGGAGCATCTGGCAAACAGCATATATTCAACATATGTTAGTTATTTTGATCAATGTTGCCATTATTAATATAAACGTAGCACCAGTGCGAGCCTCTTTGGGAGACAGTGCGATAAAGGACAATAATGCCATTACTGCTGCTACTGTGCTACCAGTACTACTACTGCTACTAATGTTGGTTGCAGTGTATAGTAGTAATAGTCATAATAATAATAATAATAATAATAATAATAAATGCCAGCTGCAGCATGCCGAGCAGTTCCCACGCGCCAGGCCCTGCACAGAGTGCTCACACGCACAACCTCTCGCCCCCAGCGCAGCCCCACAAGGCAGGTCTCTTACTCCTGTCTCCACGAGATGCACATGAGTCTCAGACGGTGCGGCGGCCTTCCCAGAGCTAGAAAGTGGCAGAGCCAGGGTTCCACCCCAGATCTCTCCGACCCTTGAACTCAGACACTTAACCACCGAACCAAATTGCAGACAGGAGGAGTCTGTGAGTCCCAGTCCCGGGAGGCGGCTGTGACGCCGGGTTCCTTTCCCCAGGTCTGTGAAGTCCCGGTGAGACAGTCACGCAAAGCTCTGACTCCGTGCAGCTCCAAGGCCTTTGGTTCGCTAGAGCCTGCGGCAGAAGGAGGAGGGGCATCAGAGCCCATTTGCATTTCTAAACACGGAACGTGTTCTCTCTACATTGTGTCCTTCTCAAGTTGACTCCACCTTAATCGAGATCTGGTTTACACCCCTCGGGAGACAGAGTGACCACACTTCTCTCTTTCCCTTTGCCTCCCCGCCCCATGAACGGCCCCACACACCCCTGTACGTGGCCCACAGCCTCTCCATCCTCATCCTCATTCCACTAGTCCACTATTTTCTGCTTAGGAGAGGCTGCCCAAAGAATTTTCCTCAAGAGTCCGGTAGGTCGTAACACCTTATGTTACTTCCCTCCAGGATCTCTCTGGCTGACCCAGAAACCAGCTCCACTCAAACCTCCCCAGGAGCATGTGAAATTCAGATTCTTGAGCCCAGTCCCAGCCCCCCTCATCACCACCTGGGAATCCAAACTGTAACAACATCCTCAGCTGAAGCGTGTGCGCCGAGTTAAAAGCCCCTGCTTTCTAACTGACAAGGGCCGTGTTTAAAGATCTGGAAGGCTTGCTGCCTTTCTGAGGTTCACGTAGGTTCTGACATTAGCTGGAGAGGTGAGCACGCACAGCCAATCCCTCCCCTGTCTGTCTGCTCACCTGTTTATAAAGTGGTCAGTCGATAAGTTAATTAGCGTTGCTAATTCATGTAACCCTTACGGCACTGCCGTGAAGTAGCTATTATTAATATTACCATTAAAAAGACAAGGAAACCAGCAGAGAAGTAAAATGACTTGCCCAATGCCACACAAAAACAAGACTGGATTTTAAGGCTGTGATCGCCTCAGCGAGGTCAAAAAGGCGCTTGAGACATTATATAATCCGTCTCCAAAAACAGAAGCAGTATGTTCATCCACGGGCACAATGCCGTGCAGCAGGCGTCCAGAATCTATTCATTGGGTATCACAGACTTTGTACCCTTGATTAGCAGCACTTTCTCTCCCCTCTCCCAAGCCCTGGGCAACCACCGCTCTACTTTAGTTTCCATGAGATTGTCTGTTTTTAGAAACCTGGTATAAGTGGAATTGTGCAATACTGGCTTTCTGTCACTGGCTTACTTCACTTAGCACGATGTCCTCAAGGTTCATCCATGTTGTCACATATTGCAAGATTTCCTTTTTTGAATACTAAATAATGTTCCATTGCATGTGTGTATCGATGTCACATTCTCTTTTATCCATTCATCCATCAGTGGACACTAAGGTCACTTCCGCCTCTTGGCTATGGTGAGTAGTGCCATGCTGAATATGGGAAAGCTAACATATTTTTGAAAGTTAGAACAGTACTTCAGGGGCATCTAATAGCCTTTTTTGGGTAAGAGTTGGTGAAACTGGAGCCAAGGGAGAAAGGTGACTGGCCCGTGACTGCAGTCAGTGAGAGAACCCAGTCCCGTCTTCCCCTCCTCACTCCCCGGCA